AAGGAAGCAAACCAAGAATCGCCAACGCTCGAGCAGCAGCTTTGTTCACACGAGGCTCAGCTGTAGCTGTCAACCGCAACAGAAGGTCCCGGAGACTTTCAGAGGTAACCAAAATACGCCTATTCTCCAAGCAGAACGCCAGATTACCAACCACAAACAAAGCTAGCCTTTGCACCTGGGGCCAAGAAAAGTGGAAACAACATAAAAATGGGCACAGAAATATAAAAGATCCAAGAACCTGATAACATAATATACAAATATGAAACATGCCTCTGGGTTTCTGTGGCCACACAGAACTTTCAATGATTTCAATAAATCCTTGGTTAACATCTTCTGGGATACCCTGTCTGATGCAAAAGCCAATGTTGATACAACTTGCAGGACTGAAATTACTTCTTCTTGGGAAACAGATTTTAGCACTGTTTCAATGGGCTGCATGATGTCACATTTGATCAACTGCATTGCCATAGAAACTTCTCCAGCAAGAGAAGAGAGGGCAGAACATGCTTGCTCAACCTGCAACAGATGAAAATTCTCAGAAGAGTACACCACAGAAATGACAAAATTTGAAGAAAAAATAACCTTGTAAGGAAAAGTGCACCAGCATACCACGTGACGATCATCACTGCTGATCATACTAATGAGCTGTCGCACTGCATTCTCATCTTTACCAATAACTGCACGGTTACCTTGGTCTTGCACTATTTTAGCCAGGGCAGATGCAAGAAGAGCATGATGGCATGAGGAGAAGCGGAATATAAGAGAGAAGAAAGCACTCAGCTTGTGTCTGGATGTTCCAAAATAAGAACTGCTCTCCCCCTGCATAACCACATCATAGAATGTGAATTACAGGAAATCGAAAGTCATTTCAACTAATTTTACTGATAAACCGCAAAAATTACTACCTCTATCTGCACAGTGACAGATCTAAGATTTTCATCAGCAACAATCCTGATATTTGCAAGGGTTAAGTGCCGAAGTTTATGCAGTGGTAAGATTTCCGGGAGAAATTCGAGAGGGTTGCCATATAGCCTAAGAATCTGCAACTCGGCCATTACCCTGCCATTCAACTGGAGATAAGCATTATGCCCAGCGAAAAAGTCTTGCTAGAAACCTTAATTTTAAGAAAATTGATAGTTGGTTCATTGAGATGACCTGAAATCAAGAAGTGGACGAATAAGCTTATTATGTTCCAATGACAACTCTACCAGTTGAACACACTGCCTCAGCTCCACTGTTTAGAATTCAAACAACATCAGACAGCAGTTCAAGGTAATGAAAATATGAAATCTAGAAATCCCCTTCAATTGAGACAGATTCCATTTCTCAATAGGCTTCATAGAAATTCTTACCAGGGACAGAAACCAACAAGTTGTAATCAACACTGAGAACTTTCAGAGTTTTCAGCTCTCCAAGTTCAGGTGGCAAAACTGTAAGCCTATTGTTGTCTAGGAAAAGCTTCTCAAGAGTTGGCAATTGCAGTAGTTCAGCTGGCAATGTCTGCGAACAAAATTCGCTTCATTTCAGTCATTTGAGCTCTCACTGACAAAGGGCATAAGGCAAACATTCACAAAGGAATCAAAAGAAATCAAAATCCAAGATATAACAGTTCTGAATCCCTTTTTCAATGGCGGCAAAAATTAATCGAGTTCGCACCGTCAAACCACAACCGCATAGGCTAAGCAATGTGACGGTCTTCCAATGATCGGCACAGGCGATACCCGAACCATCCCCAAGTCCACTAGAAGCTAAATTGGACCTCAACAATCTCGTCAAAACGCCGGCGCCATCGCTCTGCTGGCCGGTACCTTCCTTCGACACAGTGATCCCTCGCAGCGGCTCCCTCCTCTTCACAACGTTCATCTCCACTCCGACGACATTGCCGTCCACCATCCCTCTCTCTCCATCCAGCTGTTCGTTTGTCGTCAAATCCACCGTCACGCAATCCTGCGGCATCGGCAGCGCCACCATCAGCTGCGACTGCAGCCTCAGCGCCAACTGATCCTCGTCGTCTCCGGCCGTCCAATCCAAATCCACGCGGAATCCACCGTCCGGATCCAAAGGCGGCGGAATCGTCGAAGACGACGACGAACCAGACGAGGAGCTCGACGTACGGTTAGGATCTTCCCATGACTCCTCCGTGCCGTAATTTAGACTCAGACGGAAGATCTCCGAAGGCCGCTTCCATCCTAATCCCCAAGACATTGCGCCAGGAATCTCAGAGAACTTCGACCGGGCCTTTCCGATCTGATCGGAGCGGTTACCGACTCAACAATTCATCATCCCGCTGGAGAAAACGTTCAGGGTACCGCCGATATTTTTTTGGCCGAGAGGGATTCCTCTCTGCCTATATCGTTATGGCATTGCAAAGGAATTCGGGATTAGGGTTTGGAGGTCGAGTTTCGGATTAATGGCGGGAGTCCGCCGCAGAGTGAGACGAGGAAGGAAGAAATGGGGGAAATTTTCGCTTCAACTGTGTTTTTCTTTCTTTCGCTCGTCGTCTTTCTTTCGCGTTGATTTGTTCTTTCGTTTCAAAGCTTCTTCGTCGGACGGTCTCTCTAGTTCACTTACTTTTTCGGGTCGGTTTGGTTTCTAGAGATAATTGAATAAATGTATTTTCTGTTATCAATACATAATAGTACATACAATTATATTGTAGTTTACTTCGTTTGGTTTTGTGATAGTTATTATGTTATTTAAATATGTTATATTATTTTTGGGTGAAATATCTTTTACCCAATGTTTTTTATATTAAAAAGAACACACATGAAAAGATAGGACATAGTTGGAAGAAGAAAAAAATACAACAATCTCAATCAAGCAACCTCAACAGTTCCAAAAAAAAAAACTTGAGATTTAACTATCACTCATTTTGAGTGATAGTTTGTGTCACATCAAACAAATAATGCATGTATTATTTGTGCGGAAAATTAAATAAATCGATGCATTGTAACTATTTCAACCAAACAATTACCAAAACTAAATGACTCCTTCATTGGAACTATTCCAAGCCACAATTTGTGCTATACTCCCCCCAAACATGCCCTCATTCAATGCACTTACTATTTTTTAATTTTATAACTATGCACTTAAAGGAATAACTAAAGGAAGAAAGTCTTGTTTATCAAAGCATGATTTTACATAAAGTCAAAAAAAATTGAGTAAAATCGAAATAGTAAAATTGTAAGATTTTAATTTCCATTTTGAAACAAATATCAAATAATATTAATAAGGTAAATCATAAAAAAAACTAAGACACACAACATGTGAAATAATAATTTCTCAAGATTATTATTCCATTTCAACACAAATGTATCTCAACTAACTTGCGTATAAACTTTGTAGAGTAGTTGCTCGCAACGACAAAGTCTCTATAGGAAGATCATTAGTATTTGGACAATGTAAATTATTATGGGTTATCAGTTCTTGGGTGAAGTGTCTTAGAATTTTCTTCATTATAATCAATCTTAACATTTTATTCACTTTGAATAGGATAGATTATGACATTTCTTACATGGTAGCAAATGGGTCTTTAATTTGATAGTGGGAGAGAATTAGATAATGTTGATAGAGGAGAAGGAAAAAAAGCTGACTGACCAAAGATTTGATCATATTCCTTTAATTAGGTTCGATTTTGTCCAAATTCAATCAATTCAACATGGGCCTTAAAATCGTTAAAATGCTTAGAAACTGTAATATTTTAAGGATTCAAATTGTGAATAGGGTAGGATTTTAATTTTTAAGGTCCATAGATTTCATAATGAAATCAGGATCGGAATATGTAAGTAAAATCGTAGGATTCTATAATTATAATTGGGATTTTGAGTATTATACTTTCGGCTTACCCGATCTAGATAGCTAAACAACTTATGAGGTTTGGCGTAAACACGTACTTGTGTTGCAGGATCCTACAAAAACTTAGCACAATATGCTACTGTCAATTATATTTGCTCACAAGTGTTCGCGCTTTCAGTATATGATATGGTGCATAACCCTTGGCTATGCTTCCAAGTTTTTTTAAGCCTTGATTTGTTTCGATTAAGTATGCTTCAATGAGAATGTTAATTACCTAAAAAAATTCAAATATGAGTTGAAATAAAGAAGATATGAGCTTTTAAAAAGTAACGGGGAATAAAAATGAAGGGGGAGAGAACTTGACACGTGGAACACTCTAGTTAGCTTGAAGTTTGATTATTATATATTTTTAATATTTTAATTTTTGTTAAAAAATTTAGTTTGTCCTTCTTCCAATCACTCTCGTGAGAGAAAATTCAAATTAATGGAAAAGAGGTTCTTAAAACTCCATCATATATTTGGTTGATTGATTAATTTACAATTTTTCTTAAGCAAGTTCAAAACTTCAATCAACTTCTTACAAGTTACAACCACGTTGAAATTTGATTTGTATTTGATATGTGGGGAAATAAGTTAACAACTCTCGTACTGTTTTATTGTTGAAAAGAACGTCTCTCGTACTTGTAAACATTAATATTTATTAAATATATTTAAGAATATTGATATATAGCTTGATTAGTCAAATTCCCATATATTGATATATAGCTTGATTAATCAAATCCCCAACCTTTATACCATTTGTATAGCGCAATCCCACTTGATAAGGCGCATGCGACATTCTTTGAAAAGCTGGTCTAAATAAATTCTCGCTTGAAGCGATCAGATTGACATCAAAACTATGTCCATATTTACGAGTTAAGACCATTATTATTAAAATTAACTTAAAAATAATAAATATTCATTGCCTATGTTTGGTCTAGATCCAATTAAAAATAAAAACATTTAAGCACCACAAAATGTTATGGCTTCTTTCGATCATGTTATTATTCATCTCTTGCGTCAGTTTGCTAAAGATTATTAAAGCCTAGGCATGGATCACAAAGGCCCAATTCCGCCCCATAACAACCTTGACTATGGACCTTGTGGGCCTTTCAAAAGCCCTTAAATGGCCGTTTCCAGGAACCGTCGCAACCCGACCCGCCAAACCCGTCATCTTTTTCAAAACCTATCCGCGAGTTTTTTTTTTTCTTTTGCGCCGGTATTTTCTTTAGCTGTACCTCCTCACCGGCGAAAATGGCTTCCCTGTACCTATGTTCAATATCCGTCGTCAGTCACCGAAGCTTCATCAGCGCGCCGTTAACCCTCCGGCGCACACTAGCTTCAACTTGCGACCGTTCTCTACTACACAGGAACCGCAGCAAGTTCGCTCCAGCTCGTTCGAAATCGAACTCAAACCACAGGCATATCAGCTGCGCTTCTTCGAAAGCGGACGTCGCTCAATCCACCGCCATTTTCGAATTCCCCGCGTATTCATCTTTCTCTCTTTGATAATTAGCGCCATTGTTAGACTACTGCTAAATTGAGTTCTGCAAACTTGCTGATTTCAGTTCTCTTTTATGTTTCCACCAGTTATCCAGAGTACAATCGGCTGTTACCATGCCCGATTTACAATTTCCCTCCCAGAGTCGAGCACCTTGTAGTTTCAGAAGATGCCAAAGTTCTAGACTTTATCTGCAAGGCTCTTGACCTTCCTCCACTGTAAGTTCTTGTTCTTAGGTCATCCCAAATTTGTTTGTTTTTTTTCTTTTTCAAATTGATTTTAAGGTCTTCAATTTTTTTCGAAATAAAATGCTTTGAAGGTTTGTTACAGATCTCATTCAATTCGGAGCTGTACATTATGCCCTTGTATGCCCACAGCCGCCACCAACAGCAACTCCGGAGCAGATTAGGATATTCAAAGAGGTCACAGCACCTTCTGTTCTGAAGAAAAGAGGTTGCATTAAAGGGAAGACGGTCCGAGAAGCGCAGAAGACTTTCAGGATAACTCGTCCGGATGAGTTCGTCGAGGCTGGAACGTATTTACGTGTTCATGTGCATCCCAAGCGCTTCCCCAGGCGAGGAACAGTCTCGATTTCGTGTAGGGGGTGACTGTACTTTTCCGAGTGTCGTGATGGTTATTGACAGTTTGGTTTTCTTGCAGGTGCTATGAAATTGATTGGAGATCGAGAATTATAGATGTAGCTGACTCCTATGTTGTTTTGGATAAACCTGCTGGCACGTCGGTACGTAGTTTAACCATTTGGTTGCAATTGCATTCATTTGGGTGGAGGAATTCCAGGTTTTGATGACCAAATGGTTTGCATAGATGCTCTCTTGTGATTTTAGATGTGTGATGATGCTTTCTTTCAGTATTGTTAATGCCTGTTTAGGTCAATGTTGTTTGCTCAAAATAAGGCATTTTAAACAAGATATAAACAACAGAATCTATGCAGAATCTTGTTTTGAGCATGGATTACGTACCTAACTACCTAGTATATGATTGTGTACTTGAAAATTTTGAAAACAGTTATCCATATGAATGGCACTTGCTCATCATATTCAATGCTATTCAGGTAGGAGGAACAACTGACAACATTGAAGAAAGCTGTGCAACATTTGCTACTCGTGCATTGGGGTTAACAGAACCATTGAAGACGACTCATCAGATAGATAATTGCACGGAAGGCTGGTAATTATTCTCACTTGATTTTTCGATGCTGTTGTTGTAGTTTGTGTGTAAGTGAATGAATAAAGACCTCTTGCTTCATGTACAGTGTGGTGTTAGCTAGGACTAAGGAATACTGCTCAATTTTTCATCAGAAAATTAGAGTAAGTCCCTCAACCAAGCTGCCTTAGCTGGGATTGGTACTGAACCTGGGAGTGGAAATCATTCATAAATCGACACTGCAACTTGATTATGGGGATTCTGATTTCCAGAATGCAACGTTGATGACCAATGATGCAAGTTTGGTTTTAATAGAAACTCGGAGAGTGGTTGATATATGCATTCAATCTTATTGTCAGGAGAAACAGGTGAAAAAACTTTATCTTGCTCTCACCTCATCTCCACTGCCAACTGGTGTAATTACCCACTACATGCGTCCAATTAACAAGGCTCCACGTCTTGTTTCAGAAGGTACTTAAGAACAACCAACGTTTCATAGCTCTTGACGTTCAAATGAATATATATCAGATCACACATGTCAGCAGCATTCTATATGTACTTTAGCAAAAAAACAATTTCCATGTTAGCAGTTCAAACTTGACCCCGTAATTAATAATGCTTGCAGAGCATGTAGATAGGTGGCAATTGTGTCAACTTGAAGTTATGGAATGCAAGGAGGTCCCTTGGCCGAGCACATCGATCGAAGAAAGGAATTGTGTTGAAGACTGTGGGTGGCCCACGAGAGACAAAGCGTACGAATGCAGGATTAATCTTTTGACTGGTCGCACTCATCAGGTTAGCTCTGCATAAATCTCTGTTCTTTCTCCGTTCAGTACTTCAACATTACCCGCAGATCACTCGATAAATTGTTGCCCCCTGTTGCTCTCTTATTGCTAGTGCCGGAGTCCCAAATTAGTTGGGTTTACTGGGTTTGAAGGTAAGGTTAAAATGGGCTCATGCATTCACGCCTTGGGCTGTTATAGTTTTTTTGTTCTTAGATCGTTGAGAATCAATGATATCCTCTTGGTAATTTGTCAGGCGTAAGGACTGTTGGGTAAGGTTCTTCTGAAGACTTGCATGCTAAAGTATGATGGCTAACATAGATTAGTTTGTTAATAGCGAGAAGATGGATATGTGAATGTAGTTTCCGTCATCGGGACTCACTTGGCACATGGCAGAACAAAAGCTGGATTTAATTTTTGGACAAATTTGATAAAGTTTATGGAAGTTATGTACTAGTGTAAGACCCAAAACGTTTAGGTTCTCAGTGTTAATGTTGAACCAGTTCTTTCTATAACTCGTAAAGTTTAGGCAGTAACAGTTTAAGACTCGAATACGTAGGTGCGTAGTTGTAACGTTGAAATTTTTGGTCTTTCAAAATTGAACCCATACATTTACCATCTCTACTTGTTGCACATGTGCTGCAGATTCGAGCTCAGCTAGCTGCCTGTGGCGCCCCCTTGGTTGGCGATTCGATGTACATGCCTGCTGCAGTTGCTGAGCTAGCCAGTCCGGGGCTAAACCCATTCGGGAAGCACAGACGCCACTACACCAGCAACGATGAAGACGATTACCAAATAGCCGTGGAAGAATGGATTGCACTTCACGGCAAAGAACCAACTGCCGCCATTGGTCTCCAGGCGTGTCAAATCTCTTGGGGCGAAGGCGAATATAGCTATGAGGCCGGATCCCCCTGGTGGAGATGATGGGGGGAAAAAAACACAGCAGCTTGCATCCAAATTCACCAACCAAGCGAAATGTGGACAGAGCAGAATAGACCTTTTCGTAAAGGGACCAATTGCTTGCCGCAGGAATCTTAAGTCGGGAAATTCTTACCAAGAAAAGGTACAAAAGCTTATACTCTTGTCATGAAGTTTCTTGAAGAGAATCTTTCTTGCGGTTATCAATCAGCCAGTTTCATATCATTATCATGGCTCACAATGAATCAATATATAATTACATATTTTCCTGTCTTTCTTTCTCCCGTAACAATGTATTCTTTTTCTTAACCCTAAATAGGTCCAGTGATAATGATGGTCGTTACGACAAACTTCTAGCTTATGCCGAGTTCAAACTTTAGAGCCAACAATTGTATTTTCTGCTATGTTGTTGATTATTGTTTGTCGCAGTCATCGTGCTTGCTTGATTTCAACAATGAACCAATCAATCAATTTCATATCATTATCCTATTTTACAATGAACACATTACATCTTTTCCCATCTTCCTCTACTGATAATTACAAGGTTGGTCTAGTGATAACGAACAGTGACGAACTTCTAAGCGAACCCCGATTGTAAACGTTGGGGGGTCAACATCACTATAACTAAATAAAAAATGAACATATTTCTTTTTGTGTGATATTGGTTGATCCCCGTTTGCTCACATTAGGGCTTTGGGTGCATTGCCATACTTGTCGATGAATCCTTTGAACCATTTCGCAGATAGCTTCGGGGTTCTCTTCAGAGTGACGTAGTCCACGTGGCAGATCCCGAACCTCTGGGTGTATCCGTTGGTCCACTCGAAGTTGTCGAGCAACGACCACGCGTAGTACCCTCTCACGTCCGCACCTTTCCTGATCGCAGCCATGAGCGATTCCAAATACCCGGACATATACTCTACTCTTCTCACGTCGTTGAGAAAGTCTCCAGTAGTGAGCATTGGGCTGTTCATCTCACCATACCCTGTTTTTTTAGTTGCCCCAAATTAGTTCTATGACCAAAATGATTAACCCTAGATGCCATTAATCAGACTCTAACGACGATTGTTCTTACCGTTTTCGGTGATAATCATGGGTACATTGTTGTATCTGTCTTTGAAGTATGTCACCATTTTCTCCATTCCTTGTGGGTAGACGTATTGCCAACCCAAATCACCCTGCGAAATCCCATCGCCATATCAGTACGAAAAAAAAAATCGTATCGATGAATTTCTAATACGCGGTCGAACCAGTAGTACGATTCGTCGAAAATGTTAACTTGAAGGAGAAGAAAAGAAAAAACTTACTCGTTTCCCCATTGGGAATCCATTCCTCTCCTGGATTTGCTGGAAGAAACCTTCACTCCTTGTAGTTCCGAGCCCGGGCTCACAAGCAGAGTACATGCAATCCTTGACGTAGTAGCTCGTGTAATGGTTGATCCCCAAGAAATCCAGCCCTTGCTTCAACTTCGCCATATCCTTGCTCGAGAACTCGGGCAGGGTCGAACCGAGAATCTGGGCCATCTCCTCCGGGTACCGACCAAACACGATCGGGTCGAAGAACCAATTCGCGTAGAAGGCGTTGGCCCGGTCCGTGGCCAACTTGTCGGCTTCCGAGTCGCTGAACGGTTCGAACCAGGCACAGTGGAGTACAATCCCGATCATGCCCTTCTGTGCCTTTTGGTATTTGGTGCGGTAAACGTCGACGGCAGCGGCGTGAGAAAGGATGATGTTGTGGGCGGCTATAAACGGCTCCGTTTCGGAGTCTCCGGCCGTGCAATTACCGAATTGCCCCGAGCAGCGGGATGGCGGGAAAGTGCCGTCACGGTAACCGAAGGAGACTTGGAAGTTTGGTTCGTTGAAAGTTGACCAATACTTCACTCTGTCGCCAAAGTACTTGAAGCATACGTCAGCGTAGTATCCGAAATCCTCCCTTCATAGAGAAACATAAGCCTCATCAATAATGAACACATAATAGTTTCATTAAAATGAGAATAACCAATACATGTATGTTTTGATTTCACTTATATTTTTTATTAGTGTCGTTATTGGAACGAATTGAGTCCGTTAGATGGTATATGAATACATAAATATTGGTTGACTTACTGGATTTCTGGGCTCAGCCAGCTCCCATATCGCTCCTCGAGTTCCTGGGGCATATCAAAATGACAGAGCGTCACAAATGGTTCGACTCCTTTAAGCACGAGAGCATCGATGAGCTCGTTGTAGTATGCGATTCCAGCTTGATTTATCTCTCCGAATCTCCCTTCTGCATGATTCACGACGATGAATTAGTCACCTTATATTATTTTAAACACCGATCCATGTATTGAGAACGAATTTATCGTAATGATTTAAGTTAAGTCCATAATAAATATTACAAAGTTCCCATTTTTGAGAGAGAGAAAAACAACACTTACTAGGTAGGATCCGTGCCCATGAAATGGAGAACCGGTAGCTATTGACTCCAAGGGATTTCATTAGCTTAATGTCCTCCTGTCAACATAACATACCAAAGAAACTATTCTCAGCCAATTACATACTTTGTGGAATTTAGGAAAAGGGATTACAAGAGAATAGTAATTAACCAAATAATGGGTTTGAAAGAAGAAGAAGAGAAAAAAAACACGATCTAATATGCCACCTAATTAGGGATAAGATTTGGCTAATTTATTCTCGTTGTTTTTTGTTGTACTTGTAGAATGGATAATGACCAATGAGTTCCATCACCAACGTCCCTAGCTACCCTACCAAATAAGAAAGAAAATAGAACACAAATCTACAAAGAATTTCAACCACTCCCAAAAGTTGGTAGGGTTTAGGATTAGACCCATTTTGACACCATTGGGAAAGGGTAGGTGAATCCTAGTCATCAAAGGAACCTCTACTATATTCTCATGTTAATAATGTTTCATAAAACATAAGGAGAAACACATAATATTTTTATGAAAAACATTACTTAATTAGTATATGGTACAAGTTGATTGGTTTATCTAGCTAGTTGATTTAAAAGATAAGTCAGGGGTTGCTAATTGTTACACCTCCAAATAATTAAGTTGATTATATATAAAAAAAAGTCTTACATACGTTGATTTTTTGTTTGTTTGTTATCAGGTGTTATTTATCGATTTGAAACCCGAGATCCTCCACATGTTTTAAGATCAGTGGCTGTATATATAGCACTAGATCGTTCCTGTGTTTGCTTATCAAACTTTTTTTATATGTATGAATTTGTAATCGTCAATTCGCAACTAGACGATTTTATTGTGATCCATCACTCGTAAAACCCTGTCAAATATTAATGAATTCCAAATAACTCGAATTATGATCATGTATTGTGGATTTATGTTGTCATATATGCATTTTTTTTTTTAAGTCACGACACCAAATACAAAACAAATCGTAAAGGAGGGCAAACTTTGGCCGTATCAATTTAGTCACCTGATAGAGGTGATAAGAGTCGACGGCAACATCTCCATTGCTTCCATCGACGATCTTGCCTGCGCGGAGGAACCAAAACGAATCAGGAAAAAAAAAAACAAAGAAGAAAACCGTCCATGGCGGCTCTTTGCATTGCCTTAATATTATTATCATGATCATCAGTCAACAAATTAAAGCTCGAGTTCTCTTCTTTTTTTTTTTCTTTTTTTGGTCGTACCTGGGGTATGGCTGTGAACGTCCCAATTGCTGATCCCTTTCCCATCGCTCAAATAAGCTCCTTCAAACTGAACAAATCCCAACAAGGGAATTCATCAGGAGAGAGGTCACAAATTACAACTAATTAACAAGCCAACATCATTTCGTCTTTTCAAAGAGAAAAAAAGAGAGCAACGAATCAATACCTGATACGATGAGGCTGCAGTTCCAAACAAGAAGTCGTCGCGAAATGGAGAATCGCTGCTGCGACGAAGGAAGGATTTGGCCGACTTCAGGCTGAAGGAGACGGACGGGGAAGGAAGCAGGGCGAAAACGGCCGTCATGGTCATCAGAAGAAGAAGAAGAAACGGTGAAGAAGCTCCCATTGTACGTCGCCTCGACTTAGTCACTGTTGTCGATGGTGGATGTTTCGATTTTTCGGGAAGAAAAAGGTTTGGTTTTTGCCTCCTTTGTTTGTTTGTTCTGTTTTGGTGGGTTGGGTTTTTTTTTCTTCTCCTGATCGACCAACTTTACAGGTATATATATAGAGAGGGGCGGCAGCCAAAAGAAAACACGGCTGTGTGGTTGGTAGCTAGCTAGTCCTGACCAAGTTAGGATTAGTTTTTTGTTTTTTATTAGATAAGGCTCTGACTGGGTCAAGACAGATTCCAAAGCTTATCGGTTTTAATTATATTGAGAGAAGAAAAGTAGTACCACAAAAACAGTGTGTTATAAGTGGGAAAAAGCCCTACGTTTGACCAACATGAACTTGAGAAATAATTCTCTCTTCGTTTCTGCATGTGCTCCTTATTTTCTTGTAAGTTTGATGTAAATTTCATGTGGAGGATTGATATATATATAAAGACTAAAGTTCATCCTCGGACCTTTTCGGTCGGGGGCTCTTTAAAAGATTGATTTTTTTTCGATACGATGAATGGATTTATACGTGATCTTCAAAATTTAAGAAAATGTTTCGATATTAAAACGCGTATGTGTTGCAAATAATTGAATTACACTTAGGAAAGCTAATTTAATTGATCCAATCGATCTTGCAGAATTTTTTTTCCCCTCGCGACACGTTTATTCCACATTAGACGATGGTACCGCTCCCACAATGTCTCGACAAATGGTACACCGCGAATCGACCGTATGATGTTGCTATGACTTAAATACCGATTATTTGTCGACGACGACGGGAAGTCACGAGCATCTCGCGTTGTATGTGCTTATATACATGTTTTTTTTTAATGTTTTGGGTCTGGTCTGTAACATTTTCCTTACACGTTTTGAAATTAGGGTTGTACCATATATATGGAGCACGATATATATCTATTCTCATCTCTTTGTATATACGTATCTTCTCAAATATAGGTAAATTAGTCTCTTCTACATGTGGATGATCAATACATATTGTGTTAATTAACCACGTAAATCTATATATGTTCTTTACTTTCTTATATTGTCGATTTCCCGTTGGTTGGAATATAACTATCTAGTCGACCAAATACTACTCTCACTACAAGAAAAAACACTTTTTGCAACCAATGAAATTGGTCTCTAAATGTTCAAAATTGGTTATTAATACTCTTTCGTAACCAAAAATTCTTGGTAGCAGTATTGGTCGCTATAGCCGCGTTACCAATGCCTACCGCAACCAAAATACTGATTGGTAGCAAAAGGAAAGCTATCGCAACCAATTTTTCCTATGGTAAAAAACCTATACTTTTCGTGACTATTTTTATTTGGTTGTCATAGTCCACATTATTGGTTGAGGAATGAAGGTGATTGGTCGCCAAAAATACAAATGACAACCAATTTATATGACTAATAGTGACCAAATGTTTTGGTTATCAAAATTTTATACAACTAACAAATTTGGTTGTGAAAAATAAATATGCCGACCAATCTTGTCATTTTTGGTAACTAATTATTTTTGCTATAAAAATTCAACACAACCATAAAATTTGGTCGTGAAAAACATATAACTCAACCAAATATATCATTTTAGCAACCTATTTTCTTAGTTTTTGAAATTTAACGCAACCTTGATATTTGGTCGCTTAAAATATATATGACAACCAATTCAATCATTAATTTTTGCTATTCAATTTGGTTATGAAATTTGTACACACACATAATCAAATTAATTTTGATAACCAAAACTTATTTATAAAGAAATGTCAAACATAACCATTCAATGTATGTTTTACACAAACATTTACAATGTCTCAAATCTAGTATTCCTCCAAAGCCACTACTTATGGGTTATCTCTGCGGGCAGAATGCCTTGGATATGCTTTGTCTTCTCACCATCAAACAAACTGCATTTTCTGAAACAGAGTAGTGAGTGTAGATGTTGCAGGTAGTTATCCATCATCATATATTTATTAGCTTGAATAATATGGAAGAATGGATGAAGTTAGCTTTATCTAGTTTATGATTCCAATACTCTGCTAAAATGGCATGAAATGGGACCTTAATGCTAAACATCACCACTTAATTAGGATGATGTAACCACCAATTAAGGACAAACTTGGAAATCTCAGCCAACTAAAGATACTATCGGATCAATCCCAAGAAAGAGAAGTGCAAACCTTTGGATACTGAAGATGGTAAAAGTCCTTGAACTCATCCATGTTCCATTTCTTTATTCTGTAGGACAAGTCATGCCCATGACAAAAGCCATAAAGAAACACCAAGTAGGAACCAACACAAATGCAACATGCAATTCAGCCAGAAACTCAAGTTCCCAAAATATCAAAGGTGTCTACCTATAGGAGCCATAAATAATTATCACCAACACAGCTCTGTGAGATGATGGAATAGAAGAATTCTAATAATGAAACTTCATACTAGAATTGGTGAAACTTCTGCAAAATTCCATATCTAATAAAGTTAACATATTGATGAAATTTCTGCAAAATGGAACAAAACAACCGAGTTTTCTGTGATGCTTGAAGGATGGATGGCATTACATATGATGGATTACTATATTATTTTTATCAATAATAAATTATGAGATCTAGTTTTGCCCATGACCAGTGAGTTTAAGTACTGTTCCTGGGACTTACAAGTGTTATTCTGCATATGATTAGTCCTGTTTGGGAAATTCAGACACAAGTACTATACATATTCTGATACGTATCTTCTATGGAATGCTTCATTGAAACCCAAAAGAAGGAAAACTTGCAGCCAATAACTTCCTTACCTCAGTTTAGTACTTTTGTTCATCGAATTCATCTATCAAAAGAGCATAATCTATGAGATGAGCTCCTTCATTAAGTTCTTCTCCCTATAAGAAAAATAACAAACAACCAGCAACAATATCACTAAGCTAAATTCATGACTATTTCATACATTAAACCAACAGAGTTGTTCAATTCCAATAAGCAAAACCAGAGATAATCATAACAGAGCAACTTCGATCGCAACTCAAGTTCAAGAGGCATTTTTCAAGTTCAAAGTACTATTTAATGGGAATCAATGCCACTTGGTTAATAGAAAAATTAACAGATCCGAGAAATTGAAACCAGAGCACCATCTAGTTATTAGCCGTCAGGAATTCAATACAGCAGCAAATGGGCGTCACGAGTTCTTATCATGAATTTTAAACCAAAAACTAACCTGCTGGCAGATGTTAGGTTCAACAATCATTAATTGGTTCTTCGATTCTGTTTGGGATGCTACCTCCCAATGCATAAAACTCTTTAAATTTTAGGCGGGAAACCTGAATAGAAATAAGAAACAATGTCATGAAAGGTTGCTCAATTCAAGTATCATACTGGATAATGTCCATTCTGGTCTTCACCATCAATATACACTTCTACAGATGGCAAAAAGAAACACTTCAACTTAATCAAAGTGGATAATGTATTCCATCATAGTAAATTAAGGAAATATTACCCATATCCATATACCTACGCCTTCTACCCCCAGACATGCTCTTTTTTCTCCTCTGCCTGGCAAATAGTTACTTACTTAGAATGGTACATGGAACAAGCAAAAGTGACTGGTACATGCTGCTTGCTACACTTTAAATGCTACTGCTCTTAATCTTGATTGCACTTGTCACCCGCTTCATAGGTTCATCAACGACTAGAGAAGGAAGCACAAGCTTCATTAAAACCCAGTAAAAAACCATAAATACCAAACAGTAGCTACGGCCACTATTAATGCAGCATAACTCAGCAAATTTGATGTAGAACAGAACATATCAATCATTACTGCCATGTAGTGAACTGGAACAACTCGAGAGGTTAAGGAACATATGAACATATAAATTACTCAGTAAATAGACAGTGATATGCTTAGAATATAATTAACTATCAAAAAGAAGCCATACCTCATGAATGATAACTATAATCCAACACCAATAGTGGGCAACCATGCTATACAACCATACTGTAAAGAAGGCAGAGTATGAATAAATAATTCATTCAATCCAACAAATTCATATTATAAAATTAAACAAATAAGTAATGCACTCCAAAACATATACAACAAACTACCATATACAGCAAGATTCCAGGGATTCAGGTCTCTGCCACATCTCTTCTTTAACTCCAAATGACTGCAAATTAGAACACAAACTGTAAAATGAAAAACCAGGGGAGCCAAAGTCCTGTCAGCTTCCCCATGGGAATTCAAATACATAAAAGCTGGTGTAGCAATCAAAAAGCTCAATCCCCTTGTTTTTCGAAGCCATCATCAAACCAAATCCTATCATACCCTCACTGTTCCTTCCCTTAGTTCAGATGTCATTCATTTAGCAAACAACAACTCTAGGCTTCCTGCTTTTCACATCCAGTATCCGTACAAACCGAACTAAACCTCTTTGTTTCCACATTAGGGCATCAGAGCTTGTAGTAACTGTTATTATGATTCTAAATTCGAATCCTTCTCTTCTAACAGCATGCACAGAGACAACATAAGTACTAAGTAAACCAAATATGAAACAATTATACGAGGTAGCAATCAAAAAGCTCAATCCCCTTGTTTTTCGAAGCCATCATCAAACCAAATCTTATCATACCCTCACTGTTCCTTCCCTTAGTTCAGATGTCATTCATTTAGCAAACAACAACTCTAGGCTTCCTGCTTTTCACATCCAGTATCCGTACAAACCGAACTAAACCTCTTTGTTTCCACATTAGGGCATCAGAGCTTGTAGTAACTGTTATTATGATTCTAAATTCGAATCCTTCTCTTCTAACAGCATGCACAGAGACAACATAAGTACTAAGTAAACCAAATATGAAACAATTATACGAGGTAAAAGAGGACATTTAGGGGTAATGTAACCTTATCAACTAGTAGAACTTTAGATGCTTGAAGAAATCGATAACAGAGGATAGGGTATTACCTCAGTTTGGTAAAACTCACCGCCAGCGCCTCTTCTCGCTCTCGTCGCAACCTAGCGACTCCCGGCTTAGTCACCGAGTTTGAAGCATGTTGTCGGGACACTGAAATGCAGCCGAGATGCACTTCACTTCCCCTCTGCTATCGTTCGGCACCGTCGTGATCTTCACCTCCATGGACTCCCGTTCAAGCGCTCGGCCACCGCGTAGAGGATATTTACCTACAGCCCACAAAATTGACTGATATTTTCAAAAAACCTAGCGCAGTGAAGAGACAAATAGAGAGATGTCGCTCGGATGAATCGAAATCTGAAAGGTGTCTGAATCTTACACAGAGCTGTGATTACTTTTCGAACCAAGAGTAGAACATAGAGGAGAAGATGAAATCCGACCTGTTGCGGTGATAGAATTAGATATCAAAATCTGTGCGCCGCTGACGAGGGATTGACTTCATGACTAGGGATTGGAGCTGAGGTGCAAGTTCCTAGTCAGGAAGAGCTTCAACAAATCAAAGCGAGTGAATCTCATCGCTTCGAGATCGACAATAGAGGAGAGATCTCTATTTCATCCATCGATGATTCGTTCCAAGGACTCAAGTCGTTGACAGAGCGTTTGGAAAATGGAGAATTCGATGGAAACTGAGGAGCTGAAATTTATTTGGGGAATCGATTTTACTTATATCGACGAATTCAGAGTACCAAAGAGGGAATCTGGGGGAATTAAGGAGAAGAAGAAGAAGTTGGGTTCTCGGTTGGCAGAATTCGGTAGGACTTAGGAGGGAGAAGGTAGGAAGGAAGGGGAGATCCGGAGAAGGCGAGAGAGAGAGAGAGTACAGTTGGAGAGCGGAGCCTGTTATTCATTTCAGCAATTAAACAGTTCCAAATTTTAATAGTAGTACAATATAACACCTAATTATTTTTGTAACGTCAATACAATCACAACCAAATAAATTAGTTGCTGAAAACTTTTTATTGCATTTGTAACCATATTATTTAGTTGGAAAAACTAAAGATGATTTTGCTACCAAAATTATTTGGTTGAAAATTGTAAAAATAATTTTGCTACCAAATTTATTTGGTTGGAAATAGTAAAATTTATTTCGCTACCAAATTAATTGGTCTCCTCATGTTTTATTTGGTTATCAATATATTGATTTTAATAGACAACCAATTTGTTAAAATTTTAGCTACCAAAATCTAATTGGTGGTGTATAGTAGCCCTTTCACAACCAATTTTAATTTGGTTGTAAAAGTTTTGGTTGCAAAAGCTAGTTTTTGTTGTAGTGTCTCATCAATATTGGAGTACATACTGCCCCCACCGGTTATTTAGTTAGCGTTGTAATCAGTGGTTGTTGATGATATGCACTTATCGTTTTGGATAAGTTTAAGTTTCTTAATTAGGTTTAGGTGGACATGTCATGAATCGTTGTCGAGTCACATCTCCAAACAGCTACTACGTATTTGGATTAAAGTAAAGTTTAAGCTCTGTAAATTCAATTATTAGGTTGGCCGGCCGGCGGAAACTGTCGTTCTATTGTGGCGATGTGGGTTGATGAAATTTGCGAGTTTTATTATAATGGTATACCGTCGTTAATTTTTTGGAATCCACGGTAGTAAGATTCTTCTTATGCAAATTCCAAAAACCCAACGTTACTATCTATTAATTAACTAGCTAGTCGTATATAGATTATCAAAATCTGTCCGTCCCTTGTTATGAAACAAGATACAAGCATCATTGATATGTTGAAATTGGGAAATCTAGAGGGACTTCAGTTGGCACGGGATGCAGTTCACAGTCGATCGGGTCAAAGTTGAGTTAGATTTTAGAATTACGGTTGCTCCAAACCTCGGCCGCGTGCGCGACCACCATAAGCAATGAACAATGTTGCAGTCATCCATCGTTATCGAAAGTTGTTCAATAGAAATTGGAAAATATGTTGTTTCTCACATTTGTAGAAAAGGGCGCCAACAAGAAGTGTGCCGATTATTTGGCTAGTCGAAGACATTCTTTATGGTTTGGTTTTCATGTCGTTGCCTTCATTTATAAATAAATAAATAAATAAACGCTGAAATTGGGAAACTCGTTTTTTCGGTTAAGTTTTAGAGATTTTCTCCGACCAAAACCCTAGAGGCAGGCATGCAGTCCATGCAGAGACCTAATAACTGCCAGCTAAGCTCCAACTAGATCCTCAACCATATCCCCTTTTTTTTTAGTTTTTTCTACAAGGTGGAAACCTTAATCGAGGGAAAGTTTAGGCGTTGAAAATAAGACAAGAAACAAAGACAAGTTAACGTGAACTGAGGTCTGGTCAAGATTATGATATGAATTCCACGCGGTGTTTAATTATAACCTTACCACTACTATGAGATCAAAAATGGTCAAATTAAAGTTACTCGATCGATCCACGAATTAATTAAATATCCAGGTAAAATAGTTTGACAATATGATCAACTTGATATGGAGGTAGAAGCCAATTCCATAAACCCAATTGTCTTAATTAATTAATTAATTTTAGAGATTGTAGGTTGCTGGAGATAAAATCAATTAAAAGTCCCACCAAATTCAAATAGGTTCAGAAAAACAACATATATTACTCTGTTAATTAGGTGTGGATTTTTTGGCTTGTGTGTTGGGTAGGTGGGTAGGAAGGATGGGAAAAAAGGCTGCCGTAATCATTCTGTTTACGGTTCTAGTTTTGGTGGATTCCATATACATACATGCATGATACTAGTGTAATCTGTTTATTTATTTATATATTGATTTGCATTATTGGGACTTCTCTAATTTCCTATCCAAAACCGTATAGGAGGTTATGTGGAAAAGTATATTGTATGTTGAAATCGTGGTTTATCGTAATTCAACGGTTTCATATCACTAAAAAGAGCCTATTATTTTAGCTTTCGCATGTTGAAAAGTATACTGTATTATTTTAGCTTACGATCTTACATTATCTTATTCTTACCATATTAGTAGTGATAAACAACACAATTAGAGCTGCAATTTGATTACTAAAATGACCTTATCTCTGAACTGAAATGATTGAGAAATTTCCTATTAATCTTTGTTATTTGATAATAGGGCTTCAAACCTTTGACTATAGACCAAGGCTGATCGGCCCATTTTGTAAGTATTAAACCACCAAACTCAAAACACGTTTAGCTAGTTGGTATACATTTTTTTAACACGTAAATGTAGCAAGTTGGTATTATGAATATGCTATTATGCATTCATATAAACAAATATAAATCATAGGGTTCTAGGAAATGATGATATAGACATAGTTTTATCTATACTTGACTAGCTAGGTAGGGCAAAAATAATCATATTCATGGATACCCGTCCAAATATGATTTAATTGGAAGATAGTGGGTGATGAGTGAGTATGATTTTATCACTAGTCAACTAGATTCCGTCCAATTACACACATACATGTATATTTTGTTTAAAAATAATCATTATTTTTATCAATTTATTTGATTTTTACCATATATATATATATATAATAGTTTCATGAATTTTATTGTTTCAACCAATTTTCTTCTACGTTATAATTTATTGTTGCACTATTTAACCTATGTATTGTCGGTAAACACGTATATAATTGTTATCATGTTAGTTGAAGTTATAAAAAGAAATTGTTATATATGGATACCCAAACATGATTGGATATGAATATAAGTTTAATATTTTAACCGATTTTTATATTAATATGAGTAAATTCCAGCCTATTTTGAATAGAATAATGTACGTACAGTCCGATTGTCACCTCTAGCCTCTAGGCTCTATACTTGAAAACCACGTCAATTATTTATACATTTTTAGCATGACTTATAGCAAGCCCAGCACAATGTGGTCTAGGGCCAAGCCCAAAAATGTTAGGCCCAGGTCAAAGGGAGGAAGCTCCTCTCGTGGCAACCTTGAAGATGAAGTTCTCAATGTAGTTCTTGTACCAAGTTGCGGAGAGTCTTGGGATTCTTTTCAAACTGGGGAAATCAACCTGGTACAGCCCAAACCTCGTCGTGTACCCTGACGTCCACTCGAAGTTGTCTAGCAACGCCCATGCGAAATACCCTCTCACGTCTGCTCCTTTTCTGCAATCCGACAGATATAGTTTGATATGACTTCATTCGAGATTTTATCTCGTGAACTTAATCGTGCAAATTTATGGTTGTTATGATATTGTTTATACTTATCGAAGAACTTCAAATTAATAGGCCAAACCATTTTGAATTGACTGGTCATGATTTATGACTCGCGATGATGTTACTTCAAATCACCAATGACCAATCACACACAATGACTCAATTGTTTGTCGCGCTCATACGGTCATACCCTCATTCATAATGACATGTAATTGTTATGACCCACTCCACATTGTTTTAACTAAGTAATTGGACTTATAGTCTTGTTTGACCACTTATCGAAGATCAAAGACTCATAATTTGACCAACCCATGAAATCAGCACCAGTCACTTTGACCAAACTTGGTATGTTTGGCATTTTTAAAGCTTTTCTAAGGATCAAATTTTCATATCTAACATTGCATATGAAGAAAAAACTGCATGCCCTTGTCAAAGTGCTTTGATACCTGACAGCAGTTTCCAGTGCATCTAGGTAGCTGCTCATGTAATCCACTCTCCTTACATCATTGAGTATATCCCGAGTCTGCCCAAACCCTAGCTCCACGATGAATACGCAAAGATGGAAATACAAAGCAAGTTTGTGAAAAAATCATGACCATACAAGGGAATCATATGTAACAAAAAAAGTTCTTCAAGTAGTTGATGGGTACTTACCATTTTCAGTAATGAACATGGGTACATTGTTGTACCTCTCTTTTATATACGTCACAATCTTTTCCATCCCTCGAGGATAAACGAATAACCAATCAACTGCGGTCTACAAAGAGAAAACGACTTGATAAGCACAAGTGTTAAAAAAAAAAATTAACAACGTTTTAGCCTCAATGTAAGAACCGGTTTGTATATAGTCTCATACCGGTTCTCCAATGTAAGAACCATTCTTCTGCTCGAGCCTTAGAGCCAGCCCCTCTGTCTTCGAAGCTCCCGGACCTTGTTCACACGACGAAAACATGCAGTCCTTTATGTAGAAACTTGTGTAGTGATTGATCCCGATGAAGTCCAGACCGATCCTCTTCAGAAGCCTCGATTCGTAGCTCGAGAATTCGGGCAATTTCGGCCCGAGAACCTGTCGCATTTCTTCAGGGTATCTTCCAAATATGGCAGGGTCTAGGAACCTGAAATCATCATATGATCACATTGTTCAAGGGTTCTTCTTCTAACTTACAATTCCACTACAAAAATGTTCATATTTATTGTTTAGTTGCGTACCAGTTCATGAAGAAAGCCAGGGCTCTTTCCACTGCCAACTGATCTTCTGTGGAATCGCTGATGGGCTCGTACCATAAAGCATTCAGAACCAGTCCAATGCTGCCTCCTTGCTCTTTCTGTACATTAAATTTCATCAGAAGGTTGAAAATTCCAAGCTTTCGAATTCGATTGGATATCCGCAACAGAGTTACTTTACCATCCTTGGTGGGAAATGGGTTGTGGTTACCTGGAATTTGGTCCGGTAAAGGTTGACAGCGGCGGCATGCGACAGGATCATGTTATGTCCTGCGATGTAGGGCTCTGTCTCTGAATCTCCATGGCTGCAGTTGCCAAACGAGCCAGAACATCGAGACGGCGGGAAGATTCCTGATCTGTAACTCCTGATTGCTGCGACGTTGGGCTCGTTGAATGTGACCCAGTGCTTCACTCTGTCTCCAAAGGAGATGAAACACACTTCTGCATAGTATCTGAAGTCTTCTCTGGAAAAAATCATCGAGTTGAAGCGTCACTTATTGCTATTCCAATGAAATATGGTCACTGGCAAAGAAAATAAAAGAAAAGACAGAGTAGTTAACTGTATTTGGGGGCTTAGCCATGCTCTGTATCTTTCTTCAAGTTCCTGAGGGATGTCATAGTGAGTTAATGTGACAAAGGGTTGGATTCCTGAAATTGAAAAGCAGAACAGGGTATTTCAGGGTGCAATTTATGGATTGAATTTCACAGTGGATTTTAGGGTATGAAAATTGACCTCTTTGTAAAAGTTCATTGATGAGGTTGTTGTAATGAACAATCCCAGCTTGATTTACTCCTCCAAATCTTCCCTCTACAAAGAAGGTTACGAATGAGGTGATCAAATTGAAACAAATTTACTTACCAATAAAACTGCAAATTATAAAATATGCTTAAGAAATGAAACTCACTGGGTAGGATTCTTGACCATGATATTGAGAAACGGTAACTATTGACGCCAATACGACTCATCAGGTCCAAGTCTTCCTGTTTTTCATATGTACGAGAGAGAGAACTCATTAAAACATCAATTATACGAGTATAACTCTAAGGAGTTGTTCTAATGGGAAGCAGAGATAATAACATCCATTACACTTTAAGTTAGTTCGAACATCGATGTCAACAATCACACTATCATAAATGTTACCATACTTGATATCTATTGTAGTGGTCAACCGCAATGTCTCCGGTGGTTCCATCCGCAATGTTGCCTGCAACAATCACACAACTCTAAACCTTATTTTTAAAGTAAAATTAACCTCAAGGTCCAAACCCAGAATAAATTTGATGTGTTCAAGTTATCGATTATAGCAAGGCCGAATTCTCTAAACTGCCATCTCAATCGAACACGAATTCGTTCAAAGTGAACCATGTCCAAAATGAGCTTATGATCATATGACCCTTTTAAGACGACACATTTTGAGACGTGACACGCTGACCTGATTGATCAGTCTGATGTGATTATTGAATTTTATACAGTGTCAATAATGATCCGATCATTCATGATTATCAAACTCTCAATAATTCAAATTAGTTTCAACTCCACCACCAAACTAACATTCATGTATAAACTAAGCAGTAAAAAAGAAAAACAGAGGAGTTGACTTCGATCGTTTCATGTACCTGGAGTATGGGTGAAAACGTCCCAGTTGTTGAGACCTTTGCCATCCGACAAGTAAGCCCCTTCGAACTGATACGAAGAAGAAGCCGTCCCGAACAGGAAATTGCTAGGAAACGAAGAAGAAACCCCTGAATCCGCACTCCGCAAGGAAACTGGATTACTCGAACCCACAGCCAGCGAAAAACAGAGCATCAGCGCCAGAACAGGAAACCTCGCTTCCATGGCTGCTGAGCGAAGAACAGAGCAGAGCAGAGCAGAGCAGAGCAGAGAGACTGAGTTATAATAACAAGTGAAAGCGGAAAAAAGCCCTTCTGACTTCTGAGCATACTATTGAAACGAGCAGAGCATTGTTAATCATTTTTATACACAGAAAGTGGGCCTTTAATCAATCATTTAAATCATTTGTCACGAATCTGCAGTGCTTTCGTTTGTGGCCCTGAATGAGCGGCCTTTCCCTTGAAGTCATTTTCCATTGCTTTTCTGTTTTTGTTTCTTGAGCCAGGGTTTCCCTTCCAAAGAGATTTTTTTTTCCCTGTACAATTCCTTGTCTTTGTACCATTCACTAACATATAACAATAGCCATGTTAAACGATTCTAGTGTTTATATTCATTACCATCCTAACATCTTGGTCTTGGAATATACGATAAATTCCGGCCGAGTAGACAAATTCAGATTGATGGTCTATGAGAAGTGGACCTGAAAATAAGATTATATCAAGTCTCGTACATTATCATAGGGTTCTGTCTGTCTCTTGAACATTTGCAGACAACTCGAAAAATGTTATCGAGAGCAACAAATTGTCAATAAATCGCTAATCTATTTTTCAGATGTCGATTGAAATTTTAAGCATATATCAAAACCTTAAGCCATATCTAATATTATGTGCGCTTCATAAATTGAATAAAGAAGAACATAGATTGAAAACTCAGTAGATTTAAGATACTGTTATCAAATCACAGAAGAAAATTCACTCATAGTGAACTATAAAAATAAAACTCATGTTTGTTTCCCCCATTTGCTTTACACATCACAAAGATATCAAATCTTTTTTTCTTAACCCTACCATTGACAAGGTGCAGGCGACCTTCAATCCATGTCTCATCGTTCGATTTTTTATTGTTGCTTGGTCAGTGTTTTGTCGATTGGTATTACGATTGGTTGATTAATTAAGCTTCTTTTATTTTTTATATAGATTCCATTCCAGTCGCCTTCTTTTGCTGGTGGAAGAGCCAAAAGAGATTTTGAAAGACACATGAAAAAAAGAGAATATGCGTTCTTCTCTCTCTCTCTCTCTCTCTCTCTGCGCCTAACCAAGACATGCCAACATGTGGGTTGGTGGTACAGATGCAGGTCGCTGTTTGGAATGGAGAGTACTAGCTTGGCTGCTTGGGGACGACGACGATGGGAGGGTTTTGGCTTTTTAGGGACTTGAAGACACATGCAGAATGTGCATATTGCTAGTATGAATCTTAAGATTCTTGAATTATGAACTCATGTTTGAGAAATGGTACTATGTACTGCACACGATTCGATTGAGAATCAATTCATTCTAATAACTCGTGTTATTTATATATAGGATGAAGCCTACTTTGTGGCGTTTTCTTATTCGTTCATGAGATTTATAGGTAAGTGGTCGTTTGGAACTTAGATGTATTATCTAATAGAATGTCTTTTTGGCTAAATTTTGGATCCATAATATATGTATTCGTAATGAATAATGTATTCTTAATACATAAAAAATTTATAAATTATAAATCTCATTTTTTTTTTGTGAGATTGAGTATCCATATTTCACATTCTATATGATTTACGAAATAATGTATTTTAAAAAGCATATACATACTCGCGAACGAGAGCTAGCATAGCCAGTGAGTCGACATTCTTCCCACTGTAAGGTTGTGTGTTCGATTTCAAATCATGAACACTCTCAACCCTTGCTAACTAACAATTCATTTATTTTCAAACCGGCCCATTTACTATCTATTATTTGATTGACCATTCCTTTATTGGAATAGAAGGTTCCAAATCATGAACACTCCGGCTTAGGAGGCTTAGGATAGAGTCAGTAACCAATGGTTACTCACATATGAGTAACTAAATCTGGACATTTAGATCTAAGTGGGCCCAGAAAATTCAGATCTAAGGGATGTCAATTAAAGATATTTTATTTTCCCTTGTTTTCATAATCGGACCTTATCTTCTTCGTTCTAATTTCAATTTTTTTGTACACATGGAGCGAGTTCGTTGTGCAGACAAAATGAGATCAATTTCCAATATATTTCAAGAACCTTTTTTTTACCAACTACACACCATATGGTAACTTTTTCGTTTTTAAGTCATTTTTGAAAACATTTGCTAAGAAGGAACGAGTTTATCATGATCTATTGGATCTACAAATTTCTGGGTGAAAAAAATACTGGATAAAAAATTACCATACTTTACCACTATGGTATATGGGTGGTAACTTGTGGTAAACAATGCTGAAAGTCGTAAATGACAGTTAGTATACTCCTACTATAATGTATTGAACCTTCTTACCATATTAGTATGCTCATACCATCATGGTACGCTTTCTTACCATATGGTATTAAATATGAGCATACCATATGGTAATGAATAGTAAAAAAATATTCATTTTTTTTGTACTAAAAATATATCAAAGTGGATATCATTTTAAAAAGCACGTTTAATCAGATTTATCTGTGTAAAAAAATTTCAATTTCAATTTAAAACGAGAGAAAAATCGTCCGTTAAAAATTAAAAGGAGAAAGGTAAAAGACTTTTCAGGAGAAAAAGGAATATTAATGTCATTCTGATATGGACAGATTACTCATGTTTACTGACTATAAAGTGATGTGATCGTTCACAAATGATAACACAAGAAGCTCCACCGCAAACCATCACAAAAGAAACAAGAAGCTCGATAGCCACCCAATCAAATCCTATCTAACTGGACCCAGGACCTAAATATAAAACCTGAAGCCCAATAACCCAAAATCTTATTTAACTCCAGTAGACTGCCTATAACAACAATGAATTGTAGGCTTGTTAAGTACATGGTTGTAATTCTGGACAGGGCCATGGCTCATATGACTCCATTTATTTATTTGGAGGTTCTCACCCGGCCCATCGTCTCAAAAGCTATGCATTCCTAGAATATTTCAGCTTGGGCCTAAGAGTTGGCCCATATTAAGTAAGCAAGAACCTGGCCTGCCCAATATCTCGTGCAGGCCCAGAACAGCCAGATCAAATTAATCTTCTCATCAGAACCAAACTCTTAACACAAAAGAGCCAAAAAAAAAAAAAAAAGGCCATGACCAGGCAACATTCTACTAGAGTAGAGCTACTCCCTCCTCTGTTCTCCGGTAAAAAAAAAAAAAAAAAGCTCTGCCTCAGCTCCATCAGAAGTTACAGCTTTGCCTGCCAAAAGAATTACCACACCAATAGAAAAGAGAATAAGGAAAGGACGTGAATTTAAGAGATGGGTCATTGGTCCCATAAAGAGGTTGAGAAGTTTGAGATCATCGAAGGCAAACGGTTAAATTTAGAATTACCTGAGAGTAGAGGAAAGTGCCGAAGATGGCGATGGCGGCTCCGAGGGCTTTGATGGGTTGAATCGGGGTGCGGAAGATGATGATCGACGAGACGATGACCGAGATCCTCTTCATCGTGTTCCCGACGCTGAATGTCAACGGAGATATCTGATCGAGAGACATGTACGATACTTGATTGTACAGGTGGTAGAAGATGCTCTGCGCCGCTACCCACCTGCTCAAACATTTGTCACATTATTGGTCAATTCTACGAATTCGTCAGGCAAATCAACAAAAATTCGACCGATTTGGATAGTAATTTACTATACCAAAACGAGTTTAGTCGAGTCGAGCAGTTACCAGACAAAATTGGGACCAATTTGAGCGACGGCATTTTGCCACCCGGCGGCCCACATCTGAGGTCCCTCCACGGCGATGGCAAAAGGAGTGAGGATCAGGAGAGACATGATCGACAAGCAAGCATAGTAGTTCATCCCGCTGACGGATTTCCCCTTCATCCCTTTCTTCGAGAAGATGTTCCGAAAAACGAACGCCAGGTTCGACACCATCGCCCCCATGAACCCTGTTCGAAAGTTCGAATTTTGGGAGTCAACAATTTCGTGCACACATTTTTTCCCCCCACCGTAATCAAGTTTCACACGACGGTAGCACTAATTGTAACATTTTCGTAGTGTCTTACCAATCATGTTGAAATTGAGCTCGGTCACGGCCGCCAGAGCACAACCGCCGATGATCGGCAGGAGGGAGAGGTAGACCGGAAGAGGGAACGTCTCCCCCAACACCAGCCTCGACACCAAGACGCTGAAAGCTGGCTCGCCGCTCTTGATGATGTGCGTGAACGACACCGCCACCTTCGACATGCTCACCGTGGCAGCCACATGCCCGATCGTGTGCGCGATAGCAACCTATATATATCATGTTTAGAACCAATTCATAATCGGTCACTAAAAATTCCTCCAAAATTCGTTAGTATCTAATAATCCAACACGCTTCCCCTCATGACTGTATTGTCATTTTGCCCCTTCCCCTCCAAATTTCATATTGTGACTACTAAATCCCTCAACTTTAAACCATGATCAATCAAGTCCTTCCAAAGTCCAAATTTCCAATTTTTCACAACTATTCATCAAGAACTTGTTAACCACTTACGGGCAAGAGAGACTTCAAGAAATCGGAGTCGACAGTGGGAGCGTCAGCGACTCTGGCGGCCCACGAGACGAGCATCATCAACGAGCCACAGGCCAAGGACAGAGTCGAAGTCAGCCACGGATAGGGAAAAGCATTCAGCACCTTCTTGTTGTAGATGTTGAACACGACGTTCAGCGCCCACCACGTGGCGAAGTAGATCCCGATCTTGATCTTCTGCCCCGCCTGCTCGCCGCCGATGTCGATGTCGAGCGGCCGCGACCGGCGGCCGGCCTCGTACGCGTTGCATACCGTGGTCGCCCTCGGGGGCGGCGGCTTCCTGTGCTGTGATGGAGTGAAGAAGTGGTGGAGGGAGGAAATGTGGAGAGGTTTTTGGGTCTTGATTGGGAGCGGGTAGAATTGGGCGAGAATGGTAGAGGGATTTTTTTTTGTTACTGCAGGGTGAAATATGGGGTTTGGAGGGTGGGAAGTTTGAGGAGGAGGTGAAAATGGGATTATGGTACGTAGTGCGATTGAGGGAAGAGAAGATTTTTGTGTTCATGGTGAGATGGGGAAGGTGAAGAGGAGGAAGAAAGAAGTGCAGCTTGGGTTTTTTTTTTTAGTTCAGTAATGGAAGTATGGAATGGAGGAGCTTAGGATTCCGGAGAAGAAAAAGGATGGGAAAAATGGAGCTCTATATAAGGAAGAATGTGCATTGGTAATGGTGGGTAACGGTCCGGTTCGACTAGTGATTGAATATATGGGGGACCGAATATCGGTCTGGTTCCTACTCGAATATATGGGACCCAATATGGATCTGACCCATCCAAAGATGCTGATCTCGTTTTTTTATTTATAAGGGTAATATATGTTTCTCTTTTGTGATTAAGGCACTAATTAAGAGATTTGAATCTGAGAATTTCAGGTTCTAGACTAGTGGTATTACCTCTAAACCAAGTCCTTGTTCGTAAAGATGTTGATCTCGTTGGTCTTATAAGGTTTGAATCACTGCTGCCTTTAGTCAAAATGAAGTCGCCCTAGAAATGGATCGGTATAATTTCATTCGAATCGGAGTAGTACATTAATCAAACCGAGGATGGATCAAGTTGAAATTATCTAACATGAATTAACGGTATCAATCACGACTACCGAGTCACTTAATGGAGCTCAGACATTCGATTCGATTCGGTAGAAACCAAACCGGGTTGAATATCAATGAAGGGTGGGGACCGAAAGGGCCATTGAGGGATGGTGCAATATAACGGTTGGCTTGTGAATGTAGTTTGGGATATTACGCTTACACCCCCTTCTGTTCTGTCTCTTTCCAAGTCTTCACTTGCTGGCCAGCAAAGAGCAACAGCCGTTTATTTTCCCTCTACTTTCTACATAGACATGTTTCCTTGCCCTAATTAACCACAAGTCCCTTTGTGAGCCGATTATGACACATGAGTTAATATTGAGGTACAAGGTTTTGCATGTTGTATGAAGGGCATACTGCCAACATGATCAATATGTGTATTGACTTGAGTTCCATTAAGATGAACAACAAAAAGAAGAGGTAACCATAACTAATCTTATGATCCAACTTGCAATGATTTCCGATCGAGATGTTCAACCATGAATCTGAAACTGATACGATTAGTATCGTCACAAGATATCTGCTCCATGGTCACCAGCCACGAACAACCTTGGTAGAGTCGCCAATTTGATACGTAACATAAACGATATTCACCTAAAACGATAAATCCGGGACAAAAAATAAAATCCGAGAGATTTCGCCAATTTGCAACCTAACTCCTCCTGACATTTGCATGTGCATGCTAGAGAAAGAGAAACACCAACAACAATAACTTCACCGCCGTTCAACATCTGTGACATTTTCCCCCCCAAAACAGGACAACAAGGCCATCATCAATTATTGAAACCAAGTTACAGAGAAATTTTCATTGCACCAACTTCCCATAATGAAAACACCACTTCCCGATCGATTGTGCTAGAATCGCTACACGTACTTCCCAAGCACATGGCTCGTCTTTGGAACAGAGTCACAGACTGAGACAGACCCACCTCGCAATTTCTGAACCGCAAAATTGGGTCTCAGTTCTCGAATCTCAACAACCGCAAGGAAGAGAAGGGGAGAAGCCACAATATCCCCCATAAGAAAGACATACCGACCTGGAACCTTTGGCAGCTTTTGTCAGAGAGACGGAGATAGTTTCCATATTTGCCTCTGCTCAATATTGCTCGTCAATTTTGGACGGTGGAAATGAGTTTTGATGGCGAGACCATAACAGGGGAGAAAAACGGCAGAGAGGAAAAAACGTCTCGGCCCCATAGTTTGTTTTGTTGCGTAAGTTGCTAAGAACTGCCAACTTATTGTACTAGTAGGATGTACGGTTTTGTGTTCAAGTTGTAGTGTTTTGATGATGACTCTGTTTTTTGTTTGCATTATTAGGCCTGCTGGTACTATTTAGAGGAAAATTAACTTTCGCTCAAGGTTGTTAACCCGTGGGTTGACCCGGACCCGGTCGAGCTAGTGGGTCAAGGGTTAATGGGTCAACCATTTTAGCCCGATTTGACCCTGAAATATAGAAAGAGTCATTATATTGCACTTATCCTCATAAATTATATAAAATTTTATCTAATATTATGAGTTATAACATATAATATTACACCAAAATAACATATCGTACTTAGATCCAACATATAGTGAAAATTCACACACACTTATATAACATAATATTCAAATGTTCAACTTAGTATTCCAAAGATTGAGTTAGGCGAAAAGAAAACTTGGAAAATAGGCGCATTTCGCAAACTAAAGAAAAAATGACACAATTTGACCTCCAACCCGGTACCTAATAGCGGTCGGCCCGGCGGGTGCGTGCAGCCCGTTTTTCTCACCGGGTCAGAGTCAAATTGGGTCGACCCGCGGATTGACAACCTTTTCGCTCTAAACAAAACAAGACAATCGCACAAATACAATCCCAACTTTTACTGTACGTCACTACTTTTGCTCAGGGATTAGCAAAATTAACTTTCACCATTCTCTGTTCTCTCTAGACTGAGCAGTGAGTACTATTCAGAGGAAACAATCTCAAAATCTAAACAAAACAGCACAATCTGAAAAGCAACAAGAAAATCGTAAATGTAGATTATATAAACAAAGCTTTAGCTTCTGCCCTTAATCTTGCCGAGAGATGCGATTCAACAATGTATAAACAAAGATTAGTAGCAAGGAGGCAAAGATTAGGGCACACCTATTCGTTCATGGTCGATTCAGAGGAACCAAACTCATGGAGTAAGGAATCAGCTTTGGTACCTCCATATATGGAGGCACCTTAGGATCAAACATTCTCCCATTACCGAACTCTGTCACATGAGCAATTCGGTCGATACGATCAGTCCCCATATCGTACAAGAAAACATTGTCAGCCACCCTCAGTACGAGAACCCCATCTTTCAACGCCAAAGCATCCACCTTTAGCTCCTTGAGCTGATGCAGCCGCATCGCTTCTTGCAGATCGAGAGAAAACTCAGCATGCTCATACTTGTTGATATCAGCCAAGGACCTTTCGTACCTCAGCGACGACCATTTGTCTCCATGGAGATCCTCTAGTACCCACATACGGAGTCCTTCTTTCGACAGCATTACAAACTGCAACTCCCCATCAGATTCCCCAATGCAGGCCACAGGCTCCCCACGACCGAATTCATAAGCTTGAACAGGCGTGGAGACTGTATAAGCTAACTCGTTTTCTGCATCGAAAGCGAGCATTTCACTGTAATGTGTGAGCCAATACATCACCCCTTTCACACACACACATTCGGTATGATACAAGTGGGAGTACTCGGACAGAATGTACGTTTCATCTGAATATAAGTACTTCCAACGTTTCGTTTTCGAGGAGTACAGATGAAACGATGGGTACTGTTCTTCTGGTGATTCCCATACCATCAACACCTTGAAGTCCGTCGAATCATCGGTGATATCACGAGCAGGATCGAAACTCAGCATGATGGCATCCGCTCTCCCATTGATGCGATACCAATTGAACTCAACCCATTCTCTGGTTAACGGGTTGCCTACATGGATAGTCAAGATATCCCAAAAGGAGTAACTCCTGCAACAAACCAAACCATTGCAGGAAGAGACCAACACGGAATTCTGTGGGAGGAAATCGAGAGGGGTTCTAAGAAGCGTTGGAGCTACTTCGTCTTCCCTTCCAGCCGAAACGTAACTTGGGTGTGGGAAATCGTACAGTAGAGATTTCTGCCGGAAGAAGAATCCGGATAGCAACTGCTTCTGCGAATGATTCAGTGCGAAGGCACGGTTGGAGATTAGGTCGGAGATGAGGTCGCGCCAAAGCTTGGAGACACATTTCATCTGCATCAAATCCCTAATTCGAAACTTCGATAGCACCAAATCGGGAATGTCGCGGTTGAACCGCCTGAGTTTGTCCATTGTCCCGTCGCCGGTTCAATTGACTGTAAAAATAAAATTAGGAGATTTAGCCCCAGAGAAATCATAATCGGAGCATTCTTTTCAAAGGGTTATGGACGAATAGAGATTGCCGGTAGAGGGAAAGGAATCTGGCTGGAAAGAGGGGAACGGAGTTGATTCAGATGACCGGGAACTAGAACCCTACTATTGCCGGCGGCTACAATTGATGAGGGCTCGGGAGAAACAGGAACGTTAGAATGGCAAGGGAAGGGAAAGGAAGAAGAAACTCACCAGTCGTGTGACGCCTTGCACTGAAAATACGATCTCCGTCGACTGATCGCTGGAATTTGGCGGAGATTGAGAGTAAAACTGCCGCTGCAGAGTGCAGATACGGAGACGTGTTGAGGGAAGGGTTGAGAAAAAGAGAGGAAGCAGAAGACGAAACGGTTGTTGTTATCATCCACGTTCCTATATTAATTTACATGGACCAGGAAACTGGATCGTACCGGTCGGTTCAACCGAAAATCGGGCAAAAGAAGAAACGACATGTATTTAGTGATAAAATTATCGTATCGGCCAATTTTTCAGGTTTAACCGGCCCGAAACGAAATACCGCCTGGTTTGTTTCCAATTGGACCAATGGTCGTGTGGTATGGTTTTGAAAAAACAAATCACAATTTATGAGTTCATTGTTTGTTTGATGGATTTGGATCATGGATTTGGCACTCAAATCCCAAGCATGATGGATTTTAGTCAAGTCCATTGTTTGTTAGGTGTTAAATCCGTGGGGTCCACGGATTTGTTCTCTTTTTTGGATCCAAATCCGTGGAGCCCACGGACTTGTAAATCCCACATATTGGGGTGGGATTTGTAAATCCTTAATAGCTAGTTATATTTATAGCAAATCCATCATAATTATATCATCAAATCTATCATGCAAACAATAGACTCTTCAAATCCATGATGGTACAAATCCCTCATAAATCCAAAGGTTTTTTTAAGCCAAAACCCTTATTTTTCAAATCCAACAAGCAAACAACCCCTTAATGTTAAGAGTAAAGAAGGGCGTCGAAAAAGTCCGATTTTAAAGCATAGATATACTAATAAATGAAATCATATACTATTGGTGAATTGAAGTAAACACCAAATACGTGAAACTATTTTTTTTTTATATAGAGATAGAATGGATGATATAAGATTCATTTTGTGATTAAGGTAATATTTAAGAAGATTTTTAGATTCTATATCAATGGTATTATCACTAGATCAAGCTTTTGTTTGTATGTGAAACTTTACAGAATACTGATAAAAGACAAACGGGTAAATGACATGTTTGGCTATTTAATTTACCAATTTGTTTCACGCTTGCCACTAAATTTTTTGTATTGCATTAATAGTCACTTAATTTAAACATTTCTTTCCTCGTTCATTAGTCACTGGTCATTAAGTTGTTTTAAATTTGTCCTATATTACAGTCCACTCTACATTGAGTTTGATTGTTAAATATGCTCTATTTTCAGAACCGGACCGAAAGCTGAACCGGAAAAGTTAGTGGTTTAGGGTTCAGTAGTTAATAATTACAAAACCGTTGGTGCACAGTTCATGATATATAACATATAAGACTTACATATTACCATAATTTAAGAATGAAGTTATCGATGACCACAAAAAATTCCAAATTCATATCATCACCAAAATCTAATACATTATTCAAACCGTCTCACAAAAGAAATCATAATGTTTTTAGTACAAAGTAAAAATTATTGTGCTAGTCGGTAGTGGACAACGTAAAGTCGACAACAAGGTTGGAAAATGAGAAGATGAAGCAGATATAAAATTAATAATTATGATTTGATGGTCTTAGTTTATGTTAAAGTATTATTTCAATTTTTCTTGTTAAAATAATGAACCAGTGGACCAGTTAAAACCATGGCGGTTCATCTTGTTTTATGTTGAACTGTGAAAAACCGTTTGATCCATCAATAACCATCCAAGCAATGAACCAGACCGCTATCGTAACCAATTTGACGGTTCTACTGGCCCGACCGTTAATCCGGTTCGGTTCTTATAACAATGTAAATATGTGACATGTTAATTACAAAAATTAAAAGTTAAGCCTATATAATTTTCCACCTCATTACCACTACAATTAAAAATTAAAAACGAAAGACTTGAGAAAACTAGACTAACCATATACATAAGTTCTTCTTCTTCTTCCCTTCCCAACCAACACGTATGAGAGATTGTTCGATGGCCGTCGAAATTTCTGAAGGAAGAAGAATCCGGATAGGAATTGCTTCTGGAGCCGCGTATGATTCAGGGCACGGTCGGAGATGAGGTCGCGCCAGAGTTTGGAGACGCATCTCGTCTGAACCAAATCCCTAGTTCGGAACTTCGACAGCACCAAATCGGGAATGTCGCGGTTGAATTGAATTGGGGTTTTCCATTATCGGCAACCAGTACTACTGCTGCGATTGGTCCGTGTCGATTACGAGATTGCGGAATAGAGGACGATGAAGCTAATCAGTCTTGTGCCACCGTCCGCTGGAGAATCCGATCTCCGCTCGCTGGATTTCGATGGAGATTAGTTTGCGAGAATAGCTGCTACTGCTGCTGTTAATAAGTTAGTAGGTAAGGCTAGAGCTCTTCTAATCAAATTTCTGATTAAGAGAAATAAATATTTTTCTTTTAAAATACTAATAAGACAAGTCGCTTGTAAATATTAGTGAATTAATAAGCTTTCAATATTTCTTTTCCAAACGAAAAATATTAGACCTAAGTCGCATTAAAAATTAACATTGTGAGCAGTTTTCATCGCAATTTACTTGAATCATTGTTACTTCATGCTTAAATTGTGCGTACAATAAATTTGAAATGTGGTATGAGAGAAATCGATTGTGTGCTGATTTTACACTTTGTATTTTTTGGTAATTTTTTAAAGAGCTTAATGCTTAAGCGGACTTCATGTTTTAATTTTTCTAATTTTATTAAAAATGTATAATTTCAAGTGAATTCCTTATTTTGAACTTTCCTTTACGAAATGGAAAAATGGTTTTTACTTAGTTTTTTTTTGGGGGGGGGGGGACACTTCATTTTAAGATACTATATACTATATAATATAGTAAATATTTAGGTTAATTCGGCAGATTATGAGTTAGCCTAGTTCGGACTAATCAGATTGAGGATCAATCGAGTTTCGGATTAATCGAGGTGCAGGTCAATTGAGTTGCGAATTGGAAAGGTTGCAAATCATTGACTTTCAATCAATTCGAACTGCAATCGGGTTGCAAATCAAGTTGATTGAGCAGGTTACTCTGGTCTGGTTCTGTTTTTTACACCTCTAATAGTCTATTGTCTACCCTCATTTTCAGGGTTAATTACATAAAGAGTCACTCGAGTTTGGGAACTAACAAAATGATCACTTATGTAAATTTTTTTGTAATAAAATAATGGTTTGGCCAATCTCCATCTGCTTTTTCGTCAAAATTTGAGGAGTTCAATTTTGAAAATTCAACTACTGCTTCATACTTCCTATCCATCAAATTCTGTTTCTGGGAATGTAAGGATTCAGAAACCCTTTGCTCTCTTCATCCTGCCGAAATGTAGTTCCTTGTAACTCACATTGCCATTCCATATCCATACCTGCAGAAGGCCAAAATGAAGAGGGGAAAGAAAGAACATATATCAGACATTACGATCAAATCTAGCTCTTTATACAACAATGAAAACAATGATTTATAGCAAGGAGACCGGAGTTAGGGTACCTTTTTCAATCACGGTCGATTCAGGGGAACCAAACTCATGGAGTATGGAACTACCATAGGATCAAGCATGCTCCCGGTACCAAACTCCGCAGCATGAGCAACATGTTTCATCCCATCGTTCCTCGTGTCGTACAAGTACACATCGTCCGACACCCTCAGCAAGAAGACCCCATCTTTGAATGCCAAAGGAATCGTCATCTCAAACTGCAGATTAAGTGCCAACTCAGGATGCACATTGTCAATATCAGCCAAGGACTTTTCATACCTCAGTGACGACCATTTGCCTTCACAGGGATCCTCAAGAACCCATATCTGCAGTCTTCCCTCTGACAGCAGTACATAATGTAACTCCCCACCAGATTCCCCAATACACGCATCTGGCTCACCACACTGGAATTGGCATTCAGGGGTGGAGACTCTATGAGCTAACTCGTTTTCCACATCGAACACGAGGATTTCATCAGCATCAATGAGCCAATACATCACCCCTTTGACAGACACATATTCTGTATGAAACATATTGTACTTCTTCTTCATAATGCACACTTCACCTGAATCTGCAACCTTCCAACATCTCGTCTTGGACGAATATATATGAAACGCAAGACTCTCCTTGTCGATTCTAACACACACCGTCGCCACCTTGAAGTCTGTGGAATCCTCGGTGATATCACGAGAAGGATCAGAGCTCAATGCCATGACAATCGGTCTCCCGCGTCGCCCATCCCAATCTAGCTCAATCCATTCTCTGGTTAATGGGTTTCCAACATGGAGAGTAAGAATACTATTGCTAAGGGAGAAATTTGTGCAACAAACCAAGCCATTGCAGGAAGAGGTAACCATGAAATCCTCTGGAATGAAATCGAGAGGGCTTTTAAGAAGCTTTGCTGCTTCTTCCCGTGCACCCGAAATGTAGCTTGCATCGTAGTAGTAGTTCACCGCCCGCCAAGATTTCTTAAGGAAGAAGAATCCGGATAGAGGCGGATGCTGCCACTGCCTTGAGTAATTCAGCACAAAGGAACGGTCGGAAATGAGTTCTCGCCAGCTCTTGGAGACGCATTTCATTTGAAGCAAATCCCTCGTTTCCAATTTTGATAGCAAGATTTCGGCAACATCGCGGTAGCAGCTCCTGAGCTTCTCCATTCCTGATGAAAGAGACTGAATCAATTTGAGCGGCGTTTCGGAGCGGGGGGAATATTGCTGTTCAGAGCAATAAAAAGAAACCTAATTTTCTCGTCCAGAACAGCGATGATCAAAAGTAGAGCCTGCGTAGAAGCTGAAATAAAGAATTCAGATGAAAAATGGAAGGTTGATTGTTCCGATCGGATTTTACCGGCGACCATCGCCTTTTGGATGTTAGTGGCGGATTGGCGTCAGATATTCGTCGTACGAAACAGAAAATTTGGATATGGAAAGGGAGAAAAGATATTATCTGGGGAGCAGGAAGAAGAAGCTCACCGTTGATTGCGCACCATCGGTCGATGGTGTCCTCCGCCGTTTGATCGCCGGATTCCGGTGAAGTTAAAGAGAGTCGAAACACGGCTGCTCTGCCTGACTGGGAAACTGGGAAGTGCGGAGTGAGGATTCTGAAAGATGAAGACGTAACGTAAGGGAAGATTTTCTTTTATGGACCCTCAACTCTGAATTTGCTTATTTGTAACTAGTGTTGGGCCCGGCCCGTTGGCCGGGTGTTTGATTATTATGTATTTGTTGCTACTATTTAGAATGAGTGTAAAGATAAGCAAGTAATTTTTTTTATAAAAATTCCAAAATAAGTATTTATCATATTTGTTGATAACGACACATGTTATAAATATAAAATTGTTTGATTTTAAAGGGCACGTTGCGGATTGATAGTCACAACTAAAGAACCTACATTGCTAGTTCCAAATTTGGTATTATACGTCGTAATTTCCAATTCACTTATTAAGCACCAAAGATTATGGGCATAAATCAAGTACTTCAATAAAATTGGAAACTAAATATCACTAAGATTTTATGATTCCACGGGGACTGAAAGAGACCGATTTTTGTAATCTCGCGCCAAGAGAAAATTTTGATATCATATTCAACAAAATTGTTGCAGTCTTTCCCACAAAAGGTTAAAGAGTCAGAATCCTCTCAGTTCCAAAGATTCATCTCCAAATTTATCCATAACATGCCTATTCAAAATTCAACTTGAACTATGAAGTAGTTAGTTTATAAAGCTAAAAAGAAAATACACATGTTCTTGCAATTAAATCAGAATGGAGGATTTTGAAAATTAAACCTGAAAATGAAAATCCTATTTAGTAAAAAAATTTATGATCTAAAAAGTAAGGTGGTTTGATTAACAAATTTTAAAATTTATTCAGTATTTGAAAAGTTGTACCGTATTGAAGGTTGGATGAAAAAAAAACCTATCGAAATCCAATCCGATAGACAATTGTAGTGTTATGAAATGGTTGAACGACTGTTTGAACACGAAATATCTTATCCCTAACTTTTCGGTTTAAACTTAGGTTTACAAAATTGATATATGTAATGAATATATTGAGTCAATCTAAATCACAAACAATTCTCAAATTAGCTCAAATTTTCTTTAAAAAAAAAAGCTCAAATATGAAGCAATCGCAATTGAATTGATGCTGAACAATCAGACTTCTCTAAACCACCAAACTTGATGTTTGATTTGTTCACCAATTACCTGAAATATGAAGCAAACCTAAATTGAATTGATATTGTTGCCCTACATTAAAACACACCAGTAGTTGGCAAATGAACATAAACCCATTCACATACCATTTAAAAGTATTAAATTGCATGTAACCACAACATAGATCGGAACTATCTTGGGCGGTGGTGTGTTTGTCACCTTGACTTAACCTACCACCATGCGTAGGCGCCATGCCTTCTATTCCTTTTTCCCAACGATCGGTTCGAATGAAAGAAAATTGTTAAAATTCACTTGCTTAACTTCAGTGGGGAGATGGAAGAAAAAGAAGATCCATTCCGGGGAGAGAGGGGGAATCGGAGAAGCTTGAATCAGTTGCCGAAAAGGAATAGCATCAGGGTCTGATTGTGCAGCGGAGAAATTGTTGGTTCCGGCAACGGAGACGCTATGCAGGGTATTGAAAGCGAGAACCGGATTGGGAAGAGATAGAGAAATCAAAGCTTTAGGCGAGTGGCGGTTTTGATTCATAGAGAGAGGAACGAACACAGAAGGGATAATCAAGGAGGTTGAATTTACAAATAAAAGAAAGGAAAATAAATAAATTAAATCGGGTAAATGACACATTTGGTCACTGAGATTATTAAATCGTGTCATATTTAGTCACTAGAAAAATTTAATATCAATTTTGGTCACTCGAATTACTGAAACAGGTCACATTTGGTCACTCTTTTGTAGCCTCTGTCCAACTCCGGTCACTCGAATTATTGAAAAATGTCACATTTAGTCACTCGGATTACTGAAACATGTCACATTTAGTCACTCTCCCAAAAGTTTCCGTCCAACTACATTAATGGAGTTGGACGGAAACTGACGGGAGAGTGACTAAATTTGACCAATTTCGGTAATTCGAGTGGCCAAAATTAATATTAATTTTTTTTAGTGACTAAACATGACACAATTTAATAATCTCAGTGACCAAATGTGTCATTTAGCCAATTGAAGAAGAGAAGAAAAGAAACACAAGAATTGAATCAGAAGTCCGAACCATTGCGACCATTCTGCTTAAAACTTCCTGTCCATTCCATTAAAAAAAAAAACTTCCTATCCATCAAATTTTGTATTGTGAAAAAAACCCCCAAACCGGAATCGAATCCTTCTTCATCTTCGCATGGTGTTTGAAAACCCTAATTCCATTTCTCCGCTTCCCTCCGAGCTCGGATGGACACGGATGAGATTCTAGTCCGTCGCGATAACCCTAGGGGCCTCTCGTTCTCGACCAAGGCTATGCCCAATGACCACCTGCCGCCGCAGAAGTCGCAGCAGCCGCCACCGCCGACGATACTCGATAGGTTCAGGGCCTTGATGAAGCAACGCGCCGAGCTTACCGGGAGAGACGTTGACGGTGGAGCCAGTCCGTCGTCCTTGGCGGGAGATGAAGTGGTGCAGCTTTACGAGTTGATGCTCTCCGAATTAACTTTCAACTCCAAGCCTATCATCACTGATTTGACAATCGTCGCCGGGGAGCAGCGGGAGTATGGCGCGGGAATCGCCGACGCTATCTGTGCTCGAATTATTGAGGTCAGTTCGTGCTATGGAGACGCTTCCGAGTTTCGTTTCTTGTACTAATTGTAGTAGAGCAGGTTTAGGGATTCTGGGGGGAATGCCATTGGAGTTGGAAGGATGGGTTTCGATTGGTGCAATGTAAAGCTTTTGATTGGCATTTTTCTTCTGCGTTAGTGAATTCAGTGTACACTCGGACTCTTGCTCTTCTCTATTATGCGAAACCGTAGAAAAGTAGGATTGCTCGCGTTTAAACTGGGTTCCAGAAGAATTCACTCGCTTTTCTAATATATAGCTGAGGGTTACACGAATGCCGGGTTCAGCTAATAATTTGCGCTGCCTCCTTCTGAGCTTTTGACATGGTCGAGGCTTGGGCACTCAAAGGGCTCTTGCAATTCCGGGGTTACGGTTGTCACAACCGTTTTGATTTATGTTTTAAGCTTATTGAAAATGTGAATCCCCTGGTTATGAACGAAATTATACAAAATTCTGCAGTCTACATGTATGAAAAAACCAGTACACATAATGTGGGTTCGCCAATTGTACAACTAATTCAGTTCTTAACATTTGAGATCACGAGACAATGAAAACGCACCACACCTCACAGATGACACGACGTATTTTGCTATGAAGATGTATGGCTTTACAGTGTTATGCACTATTAAGAGTTTCATTTTGGAGAAATGGCTATATTTCTTACTTATCTATTGCAGGCTCCAGTTGAGCAAAAACTGCCTTCCTTATACCTGTTAGACAGCATTGTGAAGAACATTGGACGTGATTATGTTAGGCACTTCTCTTCCCGATTGCCAGAGGTCAGTTGAGTGCGAAGTACATTGCTTGCTTTCTGAGGATTTCTTGTGCTGCTCTGACATATGAAACTTTTCATGTAATGTGACAGGTTTTCTGTGAAGCATACAGACAAATACATCCTAGTCTCTATCCTTCCATGCGGCATCTTTTTGGGACATGGTCCACTGTGTTTCCTCCTGCTGTTCTTCGCAAGATCGACACCCAGCTACAACTTTCTGCTCAAGTTAACAATCAATCTTCTGGGTTGACATCGTTGAGGGATTCTGAATCGCCCAGACCAGCTCATGGCATTCATGTGAATCCAAAGTACTTGCGTCAATTGGATCACTCAACTTCAGAGAGTGTAAGATTTTTGCTGAAACAATTATATAACTTTGGTTAGTTAAATTAGGAACTTGCTATCCCTATTGATTATGCTGATTGTGATGCTTACCTTTGTCATAATGACATATTGTAAGCTTTGAATGGATTCCATTAAGGGCCCCCCTTCAGGGACATCCAATAAAAATGAATTTCATTTAGAGCTAAATACAAGGAAAAGGATTCATCTAGCTGTGGCTATAAAATCATTTAGACAGAGAGCTAAATCAATTTTCCAGCATAGAATGCTTTTCATTGTTAGATGCAATTCTTGGAGGTTCATGTCATGGCCATTTCCCTGCAGGTAGGAAACCAAAGAATCAAGACAGCTGGAGGTTCAGCTTCTTCATCTTTTACGCTTGGAGCTAATAAGTTACTCCACTCTTCAAATTCCAGGCTTCCAAGATCTTTGTCACCTTCAGCTGAGATGTCATTATCTTCAGAGCTTGATAACTTTGGGTCATCGAGGTCTCCTCGAAGACTTGTGCATGGGGCATCTCCATCTCATCATGTACTTGATTATGGACTTGGGAAAATTGGCGACAGAAATGAAGAGGCAGATGAATGGAGAAGAAAACACTATTCTGATGAAAGGGACAGTAGATTCGGAACTTCTGTTGTGCACAGAATCAACAATGTACACGAGCCTTTAGGCCCCAGAGCTCTGATCGATGCGTACGGGGATGATAGGGGTCATAGGAATACAAATAGTAAACCCTTGCAGCTTGATCGTCTGAATGTGAATGGTGTGGGCAATAAGCTGGCGACGGGATCATGGCAGAATACTGAAGAGGAGGAATTCGACTGGGAAGATATGAGCCCTACATTAAACAATCAGAGCTTAAGTAATAACTTGTTGTCATCATCTGGTATGCCTGTGATTGGGAAAACTTCAAGTTCTGCCTCATCAGGGTCAAATTTTAGGGGCAAGCAGATTAATCAAGTCCAGCCAGTTGGAAAAATTGATTCTTCTAGCATTGCAGAAGATCTATACCCTACTATTAATGTATGCTTCCTCGACTTGTTTACAGTATCTTGTTTTCCAATGACGTTTATGAAGTTGGAGTCTGATCGCTACTGTTTTTCTATATTAGCTGTGTAGCACAAATCTATTTGTTCGTTCTGTACTTTTAGATCTCTACATCTTTCATATTTGAGTTTATTTACAGACTTGAGCGAGGTTTCTCATTATTTAGCTTTGAAACTCTTTGTTGTGCTTCTGCAATCTAATAAGAACCCTGGCTTCCGGATGCAGATAAATCAGAATATTGGCTCCAGGGATCCTAGAGAAGCATTGAATTTTCCTCATCACTTACCTCGGTCAACTCATCTTCCAACTGATAAACACCTAGATACTGGATCCCAGCTTATCCGTCCTCCAAATGCCTCTTCAATGATGGGATCTGCTTTTGATGCCAATGCTTCTGGAACTTGGTCTGACAATTTACCTTCTTTACATTCATCTGTGCTGCCAAGTTTTCCATCACAGAGGCAGAGTAGCAATCAATTTGATCGGATAACTGTGAGCAACAATGCTACCAACTCAGAGATACAGTACAACAGTTTAGAGAACAGAGGGATCAGTTTACTGAATCAACCTTTGCTACCGAATCAAAGCAATGCTTTGAATCAGCAGAATGAGCGGAAGTTGAATCCTTTTGCACCTCAGTTTCTGCCACCTCGTGATGCCCGTGAGAATTTCGCCCATTCTTCAATGGGTTCAATGCCACGGCATATACATCCATCCAACCATGGGTACCCCATGCACCGACATGGAGGTGGGATTAACATGGGTCCATCTAATTCGATGCATCCGGTCAACAATGTTTTGAATAACTTGCATTCACAGATGGGTGTAAGACCACCTCTGCCTCCAGGTCCTCCTCCTGCATCTCACATGATGCTCAACCACAGTCATGGTGGTTCATTTACTCCGAACCAACCGCCAGGTCGTCCATTTTCTGGTTTGATCAATTCTCTCATGACTCAAGGTGTGATCTCATTGACGAACCCGAATACTACGCAGGTATTCAACTATCCATTTTACCATTCTAGGATACGATGGAGATTCTCACTGGATCCATTAGATTCAACATTTGGCACTTGTTGGTACCTCTATTATTCCACTTCTCAAACAGTACATACTGTTAACTTCAACTTCAAAAATATAATTTTAATTTGGAAACCATTTTACTTTATGTTTTCAACATTTCAAACTTGTTTTTGTAGAAGAGACAGGGTAGAACTAACATCTCAAGTAGACCTCCAATGTGTCGAATGAAAACGGAGCCATAGAGCCCTTACCTTAATGTTTTTCCTTCATCTGTAGGAGTCACTTGGACTTGAGTTTGATGCTGATCTTCTCAAGGTACGTCATGAGTCGGCATTAAGTGCCTTGTATGCTGAGCTCCCAAGACAGTGCATGACTTGTGGGCATCGTTTCAAGTCCCAAGAAGAGCACAGCACTCACATGGATTGGCATGTTACTAGGAACCGCATGTCTAAAAACCGAAAGCAGAACCCTTCTCGCAAATGGTTTGTCAGTGCGAGCATGTGGCTCACTGGTGCCGAGGCATTAGGAACTGATGTTGTCCCCGTTTTTTTGCCACCCGAGAATGTCGTTGAGAAGAAAGATGAGGAAGAATTTTCTGTCCCTGCTGATGAGGATCAGAATGCATGTGCATTATGTGGAGAGCCATTTGATGATTTCTATAGTGACGAAACCGAGGAATGGATGTATAAGGGTGCTGTGTATTTAAATGCGCCTCCCCAGGGGTGGACACCGGGCATGGATAGATCACCGTTAGGTCCTATAGTACATGCCAAATGCAGACCAGAATCGAGTGGAGTGCCCACTGGTGACCTAAGGCAAGATGATGAGGTAAGAATCTGTTAGAATTTTTAATATCTTTGGTGTTATGATAGATTATTTACATTTGAGGTAATCATTCTATAAAGTAGAGTAATGATAGGACATCTGGCATATGTGGCCTCTTTCCTTCTCCTTGTTGCTATTATCTGAAATATGCGCGACTGTTTCTGAACGTGCAGGTCAATGTAGAAGAGGGTAGTCAAAGGAAACGACTGCGGAGTTGAAAGTTGTGCTAGGCCAAGCTTCACAGTCCTTGTCTAACTTTTAATTTCATGATGTTAGTGGTATGCTCTTTGCTTAATTTTACAGGAGTTTGCTTGAAAATCTTTGTACATATATAGTTGGAGCTGTATCATGCATGCTAATTTTCCTGGGGGAAAAGTTATATTTGCTCCATCGCTTTTGTATTCTTCTGCCTCTTGTTATCAGAACATCTAGGTAGGGGAGTCCATTAGCAGATATGCTTGCTTTTACATGCATTGCCGTTGAGATTGAAACCGCCTGGAAACCAACATTGTAAGAAGGCAAAGGTCCTTCAGAATCTACTCCTCGGTTGTTTTTCACATTGTGCAGGGCAGGCATTTCAGCTCATCTATGAAATGTAAGTCTTACCAATCGAGCTCTGGATCTCGGTGAACTGAAGCATGATAGAAACCAGCGTCATCGCTGTACTTATCAGGTTTCACTTTTCTTCGGTTGCTGTTGTGTATTACTAGAACATGATTCTCTCACATAAGCTTGTCGGTGGCCTGCCAGTCCTTTGGGAGATTTGTTTCATGCAGTTTGTACTCGGATTCTAATCTCGACTTAGTAGAGCTTTGCAGTTCAATTGAATTTATATATGTTCCTCTTTGTGAACTCTGTAGTTCAGTGGAATCATGTCTCTGGTAATCTGATGAATGAGATTAGATAGTTTTTGTTTGGAATCTTGGTTCTTTTGACCTATCATGATAGATTTGCTTTTGCTATGCGATCCTTGTTCAAATCGAACTGTCGCAATCGGAGCGAGTTTTATGCTACCTTCTCATTTGTATATCTAGTTTTACACAATGATAGATTGGTTGTTGCATTTGCTTATCTACACAGACTACAACTATGTTTGTTTTTGCATCGTTCCCTGTCTAGCTTTCCTCAACGGCTCATGTAGGTAGAAACCATTGCTGCATCTTTATCACCTCGGCCGCTGCAACTAACGACGATTTTGGCGCCGTCGGGTAAAGTAGGGCAGAGTTTCTCCAGGTAAGCAAATGCATGAGAAGCCTCTAGTGCTGGGATTATGCCTTCTAATCTCGCCACCCTTCTGTACGCTGCAATTCAAGTGCCGATATTGTTACCAAAACTTTAAAGTCGGTTTCGGTTTAGGATTTATGGTTTAGGACGAGATGAAGATTGTGTCTTACCCTCGACAGCCTCTTTATCTGTAGCTGAGCAGAACTCCATTCGTCCCGACTCCTTGAGAAAGCTCAACTCTGGTGCTACCCCAGGATACTCTAACCTGCAGAACAATCAGTATAATTAAATTGTTAAATCAGTTAATTAACACAATAATTAAACTAGGAAACCAGCTAATAATTAATTATTACTAACCCAACGCCGACGGAATGCGGGCGTACAATGTGCCCTTCCTCATCCTGCAACAAGTAGCTCATCGCGCCGTGATAAACGCCGACTTCGCCGGCGGCCAGCGTCGCAGCGTGCTTCCCGCTGTCCAGTCCAAACCCGGCCGCCTCCACTCCGATCAGCCTCACCGTCGGATCGCTCACAAATTCGTGGAAAATACCCAGCGCATTCGATCCGCTCCCGACGCAGGCCACCACCGCGTCGGGAGTTCCGCCCCACTTCTCCGCCGCCTGCCGCCGCGTCTCCCTCCCGATCACCGATTGAAACTCCCGAACCATCGTCGGGCACGGGTGGGGTCCGACCGCCGTGCCGGCCAGGTAATAGACCTCCCCCAGCTGTCCCGCCCAAACCCTAATCGACTCCGAGCTGGCGTCCTTGAAACTCCCCGCCGTCGGCTCGACCTTTGCGCCGAGGAGGTTCATGAGATCCACGTTCGACGGCTGCTTCTCCATGTCGGCGGTGCTCATGAAGACCGTGCAGCTGAGCCCGAGCTTCGCGCAGGCGGCGGCCGTCGCGACGCCGTGCTGGCCCGCGCCCGTGGCCGCTACGACGGCGGTGAGGCCCATCCGTTTGGCGATCATCGCCTGGGCCAGAGCGTTGTTCATCTTGTGGGCCCCGCAGTGGGTCAGGTCCTCGCGCTTGATGTAGATGTCTGGGCCTCGGCCCATGTTTTGGGCCTTGTAGTGGGCCGTGAGCCGCTCCGCGTAGTAGAGCGGGGTTTCCCTGCCGACGTAGTCCTTTAGCGCCGTTGTTAGCTCCTCCTTCATGAATCAAAATAAAACAATTTTCTTAATATAATAATAATAGCTTATTTTTGAAACCGGATTGAAGATTATAGCATAAAAATTAGCATAATGATATTTTGTATGAAAATTTAAATAATGAGGCTGTCACTACACTACTTTTAAAATAAGAGAATAGTATTCTACTGAAATAAGGTGGATGAAAAGTTGAAAACCGATTAAATTTGTTTGTATTCACGTACAAACATATTTGGCTGTAGACAACTCTTTTGTGGTTGGACCATGCTGTGATACAATATAACAAATCATGAATAATAATAATAGCTAAAAGTTTCTTTTGTGTACGATTACGATTCGATCGGAATCAAATCAAATTAGTATAAGATCATACGATGATCAGTAATATATAAGGATGAGTTTTCAAATTAGTATAAGATCATACGATGATGGATAATATATAAAGATGAGTTTTCAATTGAAAATTTACGTGTGGTTTGATTCGATCTATCTATTTCTCGATTATTAAATTTATGATAAAACAAAGACTCTTAAATTTGAGAGCGAATAAAAAACAAACGGGAATGAACCGCTCATTCAGATTCTATATCGACTTAAAATACGTTCCGATGTCAATTTAATCTTTTAACATAAACAAGTACCTGAAACTGGGGATCTCTCAAAGCTTGACGGAACACGACTTCAAGCTCTTCCAGGCAGGAGATGAGGGTCTCGGGGACGAACTTGCCACCAAACCTACCGAACTTCCCCGTCGACGGAGGCTTGGCGGCATCGTCGTCGACCAATATTGCTACTCTTCCCTTGGGCAACTCTGTCGTCGGACTTCCAGGCTTGTAATTTAGCCGCAAGGCGGAGGAGTCGAATTTGCTCCTCGTCGCACGTCCATTACCCTCGAACACCACGGGATTAGCGCAGACCACTTGCGGATAATGGTTACGATGACCAGCGATTGTCCTGAAATGGGTGAAGTGGCTTTTCATGGCGGAATGGTGGGTTTTGCAGGCGTAATTCATCTTTGTAAGAAACTGTAAGCTTCGAGCGAATTGATGAGAAGGGAATTTTGGGTTGGATTTGTTGTTGCAATTTACATGGCTTTATATAGGGGGGGTTTAATAAGCTAGTTGACAAAATGTTGATGGAACACTAAGTGGGGCAATGAGTGTTGAAGTTGCCACGCCCTAATTTATGTCAAAATCAAACGACTGTTTTCGGGTACGATGAGAGGAAATTAAAGAAGATGCCGGGTGGGTTTATGGACGGTCCTTAATTGTGTGCGTGAAAAATATGATGTAATCGCGTAACAAAATAATATAAGATATTATCCTACTAAAAAAAAAAAAATTTGGTAGTAAAGGCAGATGATTAGAAGTATTTTTGTTGATCGCTATAGTTAAATTTTGTGACAAAATTATTTATTTGTTTCGATACCATGTTATACGTCTCTGTTTTTTATATATTTTTTATAATTAATTAAAAATAACTATAAGTTTTGAGGCATTTATTTTAATTCAGGTTGTATGAGTGAACTTTGCTGGTGTTATGCAAACTACAATTCCACAGATTGATTTTTGTTTGTATGAGCGTATAAGAGAACAAAATAAGATACTATTATAAATCTTAAAAAACAACTCAAGTTATTGATCTTAATTGATATTTGACATGATGAAATAGAGCAATAAAGATTACATAGATTCACAAATGTGTATTATGATGAGAAAATATGACTTGATTCCCATCTCATCAACGAACAAGCTTCCGACCCAGCCTTTTCTCGCTGAAATTGAACTCGGAAGCTCCCGTCGACTCGGGAGATGCTAGATGTTAAACTCATGAGATTTCATTTTTCAAATTGCATGTTGTTGTATGAGTTGTATTAGAGAGGGAAATTGTTTTAGTTCCTCGCAGTTTGGAATCCACTGATTCAATATTTCCATTTGTGAATACGAACCCTAGCTACTCCTTCCCATTCACACCACATTACCACAACCAGACCACCTGAAAAATTGGAACAATGTGACCAAAACTGAAAATTTTGAAATTGTTGGATGGAAAAAAGAACGATAACAACCAGTCCTTCGTCGTCTTTGTGACAGTACTATGTATAGGTTGTCTTTGGTGCAAGTCTTTTTGCTATTGCGTGTTGGCAGGAAACCGTGTGTTCATTCCCAGGTTTCAAACGTTTTCTTCATTCTTTTCCACAGATAATATCATCATCCACCGGCAAAGAAGGCCATTTTCAGCCTCAGGAATTTCATCTGTTGCTAGCTTGCTAGTAGTCGTACGTGGAGTTCCAATAGTGATGTGACATTACCTTAAAAGCATCACCAATTGTAACGGTTGATGGGTCTCTTTCGTCTTAGTTTTGTCTCGACCGTAACACATGGTTCTTCTATCCCCAATTCAATAATGTTTCTTGTTGCTTTCTTAGGAGTAGCATGGTTGTGAACAATTGAATGAGGTAGTTTTCACTAGATAGGAGAGTGGCGTTTAAATAACCACTCCACAATAGAAAGTAATACACACGTAGCTACTTAAGTGGAACAACCTATAGGGCATTAAGTATAATGTGATTGGACCATGTTGACCCGACCGGATACTGGTTTGATAACCTTATTCAATTCACATTTGATCACGGGTCATAATGATAATATCTACAAATTTGTAATCATCGGTTAGTGAGAATTTCTACAGACTTGTAATCAGCGGCCAGATTAGAATTCAATGCAAGTAACACTAACTTTAAAGATGTTATGAAGGCGTTTGACAATAAATCGAGTTATAGAATGATTCTTATAATACTTGTCAATCGAATTTGAGCTATAAAGACAACTATGTTTCGATCCAAGACAATACTCTTCATTAGACCTGACAAATGAGGATCCGACCTGAACCCGCCCGAAAAAAATAGAGAATGGGTTGAGTTTTTTATAACCCGAATGACCCGAACCCGATTAACCCGTAGTTTTTGGGTCGGGTTGGGTTGGTTTGTAGGTCGACCCGCTAGACTCGTTTCATTGCATATGTCACTCTCAAAATGATAAAATCACTCATATTTTGGTGAGATGTTTAAAAAAATTTATTAGGATTTGAAAGACAAGTTTGGATTGTTAAGATAATCAAGCATCATTTGTTTATTGTAGAAGCATTACTTTCGTCATTGTTTTTTGACAATTTGTGTAATTTGTATTTCTTTTCATTAGCATGGAAGGAGTTGAGCATTTGTTAATTGCCATGTGCTAGGCAAACTATTGTTGCACGTACGTAAAATTTGTGTTCTTTAAAAATTTATGAAGCATTTTGATATTGTTTATGAGAACGCTAATGACCCGAAACCCGATGGGTTGGGTCAATATTTGACTCGAAATCAGCAAGCCCATCATGACCCGACCCGTGAAGACCGTAACCCGAGATTTCCAACCCGAAATTACCCAACCCGACCCGATTGCCAGGTCTACTCTTCATGCTATGAACAACAGAACAAGAGATAAAATTAGCCAATAGTTAGAGCTTGAAATAATTGTTGATGAGTAAAGGAAATGGACAATTTACCCATTAAATTAAAAGTTGCAAAACTAAGACAAATACACTTGGAGTTCTACAAATTAGCATCTAACATGCACACTCACTAATTTCCCAAAATGCTAATCAAACCAACCCTCCTCCTAAAATTAAACCACTTCAAAACCCTTCCCAAAATTAAAGGATAAATCCCAAGTCCCCAACTCACCACCATCACAAACTGAATTGGCAAAGGGTAACTTCTCTCTAACACAATACAATCATATCCATCATTGATTATAAAGATAGGAATGGATAAAGATTAATTACTAGTGCCATATACTTTTACATTTTGAAGTTCCCTTTTTTTCAGGAATAGGCAAAGTCAATACCCGAACCTATATAAGCCTTTGACTTCTTCCCACACGTTCATCAAAAGGATCACCTTAGGTGCGTTCTTGACTTCTTCCCCTATCTTTCCCTTCAGCTTCCAAAAAGTCAACTCCCTTCAACAAAGAACAAAACACCACAAATGTCAACACCAAGTCAAAAGCATCACAGCAAAAGTCAAAATTAAATAAAATAGGGATTTCTCGTCTCTTACCTAATTTCATGCAGTTTTCCCAGCGACGGCCTCCTTGATCCTTTCCACCGTGCACTTGATCAGACTGTTCACCGTAGCCACGGAACCAAGCGACAGCTTCGCCGTGGGGACCGAATCCACCAGTATCTGAAACGCCACGGTGAGCAGCGTCCCGCCGGAACCCACGTCGTCGACGATCCCTTCGCCAGGGTTGAACGCCGCCGCCGCCTCCGTGGGCCCGTCGGGGAGGATCGCGAAGCCCGAGGGGAGGAGCGCCACGTAATCCGGGTCCCCGCCGCTGAGCACGATGTTCATGGCGGCGATGTCGACGGGCGCGTAGATGACGTAGGATCCCGTCGCGTCGACGCTGCTCTCCTGCAGAATCAGCATGTTGCTCTGGCTGGAATTCGTACTCTGTAGAAGAAGGGGAAATTATTTTTTTTTTTTAGTTCTACGCATTCGTAATAACGAAGCCAGAAATCAAAATGAGGCGCGAAACTACTGATTCGAACCATAGTAATTGGAGAGAGGGCTAAAATCTTATTTTCGAGCACTCTTATTTTATTATTATTTTGCAACGAATTTTACATGTATTTTGCTTGTATTTTAAATTTGAGGAGAGCTATAACCAATATAGGCAAACTACAATTTTTATACATGTAAAAGCGTGTTTACAATTTAAATTAAGTGTTGTCACTAAATCTTATATGAGAGCATGGAGGAATTATTGTTTACACCCAGAGTACCAGCGTAGGATTTATGACATGGTACTCCCGGCCAATACTATAACAGGAAATTTTTTAACAAACAGGTGGCATTACGGTACTGATCAGGAGTACCACATCATAAATCATACATGGTACTCTGGGTGTATTCAATGATTCGTCTTAGAGCATGAAACTAAGTATAAAATGTTAGAGAAGTAGTTTTTAAATAATTTTAATACACTCGAGTGATTCAAGCAAAAAAATTGTATTTATGCCAAAAAAATTATTATATTTCTCGAAATAGAAAGCGTAAAAATGACAGTTTTTAAAATGAGCTTTTTAACTACATTGCATATAACTCTTCCTGATTTCAAACTAATTCCATCACTATGTATTCGTAAGAATAACGAAGAAGATGCGTTTTACGAAACTTACGTTCACTCGAAGCAACGAAACGCAGTTCCCCGGATCGCGTCCGTTGGCGATGTGAGCAATTTCTTGAACTTGGCCGCCATTGGAGAGTATATCCCACTGCCATTTTCCCACCCTCGTATTTTAGCATAAATTGTTTCCGTAACTTAGTTAAGAGCAAATAAAGAGAACACAGTTTCGATTAATTACCTCGCTGCGGTGGTTCTCGTCCCTGAGGAAATCGAAAACCCTCTTGGGCGGGACAGAGATCCAGAAAGAAGTGGCGGCGCTGAGGACTATCCCCGGCGGTCTCCCGGGGTCGTCCATGCTCTTCCTCGTCATGACGCGGACGTCGTCGGTGCCGGAGGGGGACAACGTCGTCCATGCGTGGGCGGTGGAGGCGCCGACGCCGGTGCAGAAGCTCATCACCATTCTCTCCGCCAGCTTCAGCATGCTCTTCCTCCCTTCAGGCCCGGTCATTACTGAAAAGAACGTCAACACCAAAATGAGAACTCAACAGACGACAATAATTGGACCACATTTCGAAAGTACGTAAATCCTTTTATCCTAATTTCCAATAACAACAGAACCGATCAATAATAGGATCAGTAAAACCACCAAATCAGTTACAATAACAATTGAGTTAATTTACTTGGACGCTCAAAGAGGAACCAAATGATTTTTTAACTATTTAATCTAACTTGAGATGAATCACAATGATTTGACTAGTCCACAAAATCACTATTTTAATCGCAAAAATTTATGAACAAAGAATATTCTAACGTAATCTAAGACCATCCAACCTCAATTACTAGTTTTATTTATGCGTATTAGATTTATGCAATCCTTTGTGGATTGTCACCCTGATTACTAACTTGAATTTAATATAAAAAAATTACGTAATTTCTTTTGTGAGAATGTTTTGATGATTTATTAGAATTTTTTTTATCTTGGATGATATGGATTTGAAGTTGTTTATAGTTAGTGATAAATTCAATCTAAATTACTTAATTATATTTGTCTTTTATGTTATAGTGCGTGAACAATTCTATCAACTAGCAATAACGAATAATCGTTGAACCACAAACCACAAACTTTTTCCTGTTCATCACCTAGCCTAGTTATGAAAACATGGATAAATACTTACCGCAGAGGTCGCCGGCTGGAATGTTCATGGCCATGGAGCTGGCCAGCCGCTCGCACTGTCGATCCAGCGTAGCGACCCATCTTTTGGCCCCGAAGGCCAGACCGGAATGAACCAGCGGTCTGTAGATGTTGTGGACCGACGAGTCGTCGACTTCAATGTGTTCGACCCACATCACCTAATGAATTAAAACCACAAGAGGAAACTAGGGTTAACAGACTAGTTCAGTTTTAAAACTAAGGGGACGTAGTAACGTTGACTAATATAATATTGTGTTGACCTTGGAGTAACCGTTTGGTAGTTCTTGGATTAGGCAACCGGAAGGCCTTCTTCTGTTCTTGGAAAGTGGGCTGGGCCGCAGGCTGTCCAAAGAGACGTCGACTACAGCCCATGTGCCGTCGCTCTGCTGCTTACAATACCTTACGAAGTAATTCTCTCTCGTGGGGACTAATGGCGATGGGACTTGGAACTCAGCTGTCATCTGCGGGTGGGGGAAAGAGAAGTTTAAACACGGAGGCTGAATGAAGAAGCAAATTAGGAACAGAGATAGGGAAAAGCTGTAAACTAGGGCTGGTGAATTTGGTAATGGTTTCTCGGGTTTTATCAAAACCAAATCGATAAGAAGGTTAACGCGGTTTGGGTTTCAGATTTTAATTCGCCTAACATCTTAATGGTATTTACATCGATTAAAATCGGAAAAATCCAATAAGAAATCAATAACCACTCTAGCTAGCTACATCAATACTTATACCCGCCATCAACAACACGAATCATCTCCAACATATATGTGGTAAGACTTGTTTCTTTGCATACATGCTTCTTGTTGTCTTTTCTTACTCCGTTTAACTTTCCCTAATTATGGGTTTGGTCCTTTGCTTTATCAAAACCACTAAACCATAACCGTTAAGAACGTAATCGATCTTCGGTTAAACCATTGAGTATGGAAACCGAAACCCAAATCAGAAAACAAAAACAAAAAAGTTTTCAAAACCCAAAACCTAAGGCAACCAACTAATGCACGTAGGAAATGAAAGGGTAATGGGTCAGGCATCAATTTACCACTTGCAAGGCGCCGTTGTAGTTCCCAGCAACTCCGGTCGATAGCACCTCCAAAGTCATCGCTCGAGACACAATCCCGCAGAACACACTCGACCATTGGTTCTGCCAAAACAATAATTAATTAAGTCACAATAACTCAATTCGAATCTTTAACACTTTCAGATTCCACATTCCACATTAGTGATCACTAGACCAAACCCTTATTCGCGCGCGCTCGAAACCTTCCGTTACTACTCACCACGTCCATCAAGATCTCGACCAGATTCACGTGATTCATAATCACAACCGCCGACTCCCTCGACGCCTCCGACCGCAGCCCCAACGGCTTCGGCCCGATCCCTCTCGGGAAACTTCTCAAGTACTCTTCCTCGTTCAGCATCTCGCCGGCACTATTTCCCTGATGATCTGGGACCCACAAAGGCTCCCCTGCCTGAGCCATCCGCACGAGCTCCTCCATCGCCGCCACCGCCAGCTCGACGATCATCGGCTTGTCGGCCTCCGTCGGCCCCGCCACCGACCTCAACAGGTCCGACGCCGCCGCCGCCGCCGCCCCGTACATTTCCCCCACGAAGCCACCCGGCTGCTGCCCGCCGCCGAAGTCGATCGACGACCGAGAGGGTAAATGCGGGGAGAGATGGGAGGACGAGAATGAGTTCATCGGCTTGCCGACGTACTTGGCTGCGATCGCCGAGATCCTATCGATCTGTTTATACATACAAAATGTGTCACAACAATATTTGCCCTTAAGGAAAAAAATAATGTGTCACAAACGTGATCCAACAAGTAGTGAAAAGGAGATATTGCAAAGTAGTTACCTCGTCTCTTAAGCGGGCGTTCTCGATCCTGAGGTGCTGCTCGTCGAACGACATCTCGCCGAGGGTGGCGGGCCCGCCGCAGTTGGGGCAGGAGGCGTTGCTCAGGGCTTCCTTGTACCTGTTGTTCTCGGCTCGTAGCTTGTCGTTCTCCGATTTAAGGATCGAGTTCTCGTGGCGCTCGTGCTGAGCCTGCTCCCATCGATAGAAAAAGGACCGATTTTAATTCGGATTAACAGGAAACCAGTAAGGTCCTAATAACTCGAACAAAAAGAATAACATGTGGAAGTAGTAAATTAATTAATCACCTTCATTTGAGTGCGCTTGTTTTGGAACCAAAACTTCACTTGCAACGGCTCCAACCCTAGCTCCCGGCTCAGCTCTTTCCTCTGTTTGTCGTCCGGATGTGGACACTCCTTAAAAAAACTAAACGAACATACGAAAACAGGAAGGGAAAAAATCAATATTGTTGATATCGTTGAATCACTTTCTCATGCAATTTTAATTGCTTGATGTACGTGCCCTAACATTTGTTAGGGCACATCCAGCAACTAAAATTGCCGGAAAAACTATACAACGATATCAGTCCGTGCTTAGACCATGTAGGGGCCGGGGTGGCTTACGCTTCCATCTCTGTGATCTGGCGCTGAGTGTGGCGGTGGTAGCGCTTCTTCTTCTTGTTGGGCGGTTGCGACGGGCTGCCGTCTAGATCCTCGTCCCCCGACGGATCGGCTCCGCCGCCCATGGTGTCGGTGCCGGACTTGGTGTCGTATTCGTCCAGCAAGTCTCGAGACTTGCCCATCTCGGCCTCGAAGGCTTTCGATGTCATCTCGAATATGTGCGGGCTGTCGAACATGTTTGGCTGGAACATCTTTGCCTCTGTAACTATCGTTTAGTACGTCGAATCCTGAAAATAATGAGAGATTTAGGGATGTTAAGTAAGTAAGCTCCATACATGGGTAGAAAAATGGAGTAGTAGTACACGCATTTTCTTAGGGAAAGGAAGGGGATGCAGAATGTGACAAGGCAAGCGTGTGAACAAAAGAGTGAAAGAGAAAGAGAGAGAGAGATCTCAAAGATTAAGGGAGTCCAAAAGCTTTGAATGACGATGGTAATTAGAGAAGAAGACGTAACGGTTTACAGAGAGAACCAAAAAAAAAAAAAGCCTTTGGTAAGGCGGTTCATGTACTAGATAGAGGAAGCTACATACAAGTAATGAATTACGGGTTTTAATCTAGTTCAAATTTTAAGTATCCAGGATTCAAAAGACTTCGCAGTGTACCTTGTGGTTGGAGAGAAAGCATATAGAGGGCCAGAGCTATAGCTAGCCAAGATCCGGGGAAGTTTCGCGGGTATGGAGCTCCATCTTGCAATGCATGTTCACATCAAGAGAAACCCTAAGTAGGCACAGAAACACAGATAGAGAGAGGGTAAGTAAGTAAGCTTTTCAGCAAATAGAAAACAGGTGGGTTTTTGTTTAGTTTTATGCATATACCCTTTTGACTTCTTTTTTCCTGGGTGGGGGTTGGAATGGCAGCAGGGATTTTAATTAGATTTTCTCTGGAAAACAACAAAGGAGGTCTCTCATTACATTACAAGCCTGAGAAAGAAACGGAGAGAGATTGGCTTCTTTTTCCCCCACTTATTATCCTTACCACACTTGCAACAACAAACTAAGATTAGAAAAAAGAACTAGAAAGAGGGTAAGAGAGGAGAGCCATTACACAAATTAACGAGTAGATTCAACTCCAATTCCTCTCATATTTGACACTGTAACCCCGCCCAGAAAAAAGAGAAGAAAAAACCCCAAGTTTATTATAACGCTTGGCCGCTGAGATCTCGGCCAATATCCCATCCCCATTTTTCACTCCCTCTCTCTCTCTACTAGTAAAATACTAACGTAAACATAATAACTCCATCAGAATTATGGTGGATCGGATTGGGAAGCAAGCTCATTAGCAGACTGCAAGCTAAAGGGATAATAGGAAGGTGAACAAGAAGAACTTACCCCCCGGAAACGATAAGAGAATAGGGTTTCTTTCTTTCTTTCTTTCTTCGTCGGGAGCGAAAGCTTAAGTATTCAGGTCAGGGAAGGGGGCTGATCAGCTGGACTGGTTTGACTCTTGGGACGACTGACTGTGTCTTCTTCTTCTCCTCCTTCTTGATGATGTGGGAAAAGGAAGGCCGAGGGAGGAGAGAAGGGGGGGAAAGTAGGGTTTTTCTTGATGAGATGACGACTGCTGGAGAGAGAAACGGACAAGGAAGAAGAAGAAGAAGAAGGGATTTTGAACAGATCAAAGGGAGAAGAAGAGATGGATGGAGGAAGAAGAAGGAAGGAAAACAGGTGGGAAGATGTGGGCAGGCTGAGGAAAAGGAGTTATTGCGGGGAGAGGGAGGAGGAAGAGCGTGTTGAGAGGGTGCAATTGCATTTATGGTAGAGAGCAAGAGCAATAGCAGGTTTTTAATGCTACCAGAGAGAGAGAGGTGTTTGTATATATGGAAAGAATATGAAAGAATAAATATATACATACATACATACATACCCCTTCAACTAAAAATCAAAATAAAAAAAAATACCAGTATTTGTGAAACAGTATCGTATCAATGATCCGACCCGGCGCCAAAAAAAAAAACTTTACATGCTGTTTGGTATGAATGAATTCCATAAGTTTTGAGGAATTCATTTTGAAATGAAATAGTTTTGTGTTTGGTATTAAACAGAATTTCATTTTTCAGTTCTAGATTTTGAATTCTGCGGAATTTGGAACTGGTTACAGCAATTTCGAGGACTTGAGATGAAAAATCTTCAAATGAATTCCACAGGTATTTACTGATTATAGTAGAATGACATAAATACCTTCTTTTATTGACTGAATTACTTATACATATGATATATACCAAACGTAGGATTTCATTTGACAATGAATTCTACACGATAATTTATTTTACAATGAAATGAATCCTCGATTCATTTGGTACCAAACGGTTGACATTACAATTCAGCACAAACTAATATACCGCGCTAACTTTTTTCGGTGTTAAGAATTTTTGAAAAAATACATAGGAAGAAGATAATTTCAGTATTGTTTTCTGCTTGTCTTCCTCCCTTTTCCGAATACATCATCATCTCCTTATCTTCCATTCTTTCCATCATGCCATACACCTTTTCTGATGATGAAGCCCCAATTCTAGGGCTCTTCCCATCAAAACCTAGCTTGTCGCACGTTCCTTCCAAGTTCCAATGGCGCTGGATGGTTTTAGACAGTGCTCTAATCTTTGAAAACAATCACAACGTTTGACATCATCGTTTGAAATGTGTGAATTTTGTGTGTACAATGAAATCATCAAATGTTGGACGCACAAAAATGAAACTATTCATGCTTCAATTGAACTAATCTTATGGTTTCCAATATGATTAATAGCTTTTTAACGTCAGATATTTTTATTTTTTTTCCTTCGATAATTTTAAATTACCATGCTACGGGCTAGAGACCGAACTTGATATACAATGCCGACCATAATTCACTTTGTTTGGATGAGAATATGGATTGGGGACTCGGAGTAACTGTGTCGACAAAAATGAATCTTCATTGAACTATATTCAATCATTGTATATATATATGTTCATCTGGTTCAATAATAACACGCCTTGCATATTAATTATATGAACTACTTTAGTGTGAGCTAATTGACCAAAAGAAATTGGATTTTTACGGGAGGAAAAAATGAAGGAATTTTGAATTTTTTTATCATAAATACTTCTTTGGACCAGCTACGATGGAGACTTGAGACTTCAACATCTTTTGATTAGTATGTTTTTTTTTAATGTTTTGTTTTGTTTCTTTCCTGCTGAATCATTATAACTTATTTTTTAATTAGTGGGTGTGGTCTTCGTTTGGTTATTACTTAATATGATCGCTGGGGACTGAAAAGGGATTTCTTAGCTGCCTTAATAAATTAGGAAACAAATCATAACCTGCCATTCAATGATGTGGGCTACATGGCAAACTCGATGCAAAACGGGACACATTATTAGTTGTGCATATTGCTTTCCCTTATTAAGATATACTCCTAATTATGGAGGAAAATTATAGGCTACAAAATTCGGTGTATACCATTTTTATACGAATTAATCATACAATATATCAGTGATTTTTACGATTCGTATCAATTGGGATGATAAAATCACGCTTCAAGCGAACCTCCCCTCACCGAGATAAGAGTCGTCACTTGAGCCAGTGTCACAACTTAATGCAGGTGGTATGGTGTGCGTAATTTTGTTTTCCGTGGTCATTTGCGTAAAGGATGTTGTATTATTTATTTCATGGCCTCTTAGAATTATTTGGGTTATAGGGACGTGATGGATGCATTCTCTACTTGATATATTAACCTTAGAATGATCTAAAAACATATTTTTGTTCGAGCAATCGTGTAAAAGCTGTTGAGAGATCTATTGATCGATATCGGTGCATGTTAGATATTACGTAAAACGTTATCATACATTCAATATTGCTACGTGCTTAAACGAAACGTTAGTATCGATGGTTATAAGAATTGAAACACGAAACTTCTCGATCAAATATTATTACCATGTAAAGAGCCAATAGCTTCCACAAACTCAATTAATAAAATAAAATTCATTATATTATTCTGATATGAACACCCAAGTCAATATTTATTATCATGAGTTTCACCCAAATCCATCTTCCATATATGCTTTTATGCTTACCCTTTGGCCTTGAGATAGGTACCACTTTTATGCTGCTAGTACCGATAAGATCAGTGCCCTCATGCATTCACATCTCACAATAAACTAATACCTTTCCCCTTTGACTTGTAGGTTAAAAAATAATGAACCGCTAGCCAAATGTAACCCTAGCAGAGAGCCTAGAGAAAACAACAAAAACAAAAAAAATCAATGACAGACGACACGTGTCACAAAGGACCATAAAGGGAGTCAAAGGAATGAAAAGGGAAAAAAGGAAGTAAAAACTAAAAAACTAATTCAATTCAATGTTGTTGCCTGTTGGGTAAAAAAGAAAAGGTAAACAGTAAAATAGAAACACACGGATAAGAGAAGGAGAAAGAAAAGGACCCAAGTCCTGTTCCGTCATTTCCAACGGAGGAGGAGGAGGAAAGTTTGACTTCCAGCGAGCCAAGATGACGTGACGTCAGGGGACGTCGACGTGGCGTTACGTGTGGACAAGGTCGCATGGATACGTTTGTCTCTGTGTTCAAAATCGACGTCAACTGCGGGGCCCGGCCCAGCCCACATATTGTGGCCTAACCTAATCCCATCAATCCCATTTCTGCAGAATTAGCCTTAACCTTCTTTTCCAGTTCTTAACCATTGACTACAATCCGCCGCCGTTTTACCCTTTAATGAGTTTCCCTAATTCTCCATTACCTGCTAATGAATATTTGAGCATTTGGGTTTGGGTTTGGAATTGGACTGAAATGATACGAATAAAATCAAATTTGAAACCATAACTTCATGTATTTATTAATATGGGATGACGAATCAGATGAAAATTAAAGATTTGTGATGATCGTCTATAATTTGTAGCATAGAAAAAATACATGACAAGAAACATATCTCTTTTATGTAATCTCCTTGTTTAATAAGTGTGATGGGTTTGGTGGTCATTGTGGACCATTCTCCATTCAATTTGGGACCTTTCCTCTCCCAACCCCCCCTCTAAAACCTAAGAGAGGCAACATGTTTCAATCTAATTACGTCTATTCAAAAGAATAGAGTTGCAATACATATTGTTCTTACTCTTCAACTCCATATCAGTTATCATATTTTAGGATTTATTTAGACATGAGATACTGAAGAGACTCGAACTGGTTTATTGTTCAAATTCCTAATTCTCTTGCATGAATTAAAATGAGAACAAGACGGATTGAGCATTTCATGAACAAGGATTTGGTCTAGTGGTAATATCACGATTTTGAATATGGAAGTCACAGGTTCGAATCCTTTAATTAGTACCTAATCAGGAAAACTAAATTTATATCCCCTTATAACAAAAATACCACAAGTCTACAAACTATCATTCTGAGAGTTGCATGGCTAATCTCTTTTGGGTGATAATAGATTATGATCATTAATGCTTTGACATTCAAATAAACTTTGCATTAAACCCACTAGAATAGTAATATCTCAAAATCCATGCATTCATCACAATCTCCATACCCACAAAAGTCCATTCCTTTCAATGATAACTAATACAAACAAATCGCTTGCAACCATGTAATAAGTCATATTTAAGACGCACGATAGATTATGTTGATTTAGTTCATACTGAATTGGACCCATTTGAGTTAGATGTGAGGACTGTTGACGAAGGAAATGCTCTTCCAACAACAAAGCACTATTGTGCACTAATTATCAAAGGCCTCCTTTATTTTCAACTAACTAAAGTCGTAAAGTCGTCCACCAAAGAACAAAACAAAGTACCATTTTAGCATTTATAATTTTGACAATGGCGCAATCTGCCGCGGCTAGATCGATGGCCTAGCTATAGTAGTCGGGAAGTCCACGAAGAGGAAGGACAAAGGGAAACTCACTCTTGACGATAAAATGCTCTGATGTGATGTTTGGTGAAGGGCCATAATTTCTGCCATAAACCCTTCTTCAAGTTCTTTAGAATATATTGGGATGTAAATCATATCGATCGGTCCCTAGGCCCCATTGTTGGGAAGGCTCGACTTCAAAATTGTATGTGGAGCTTTCGCCTCATACATCGCCTCAACTTCCGTGTTTGAAGATGAGTGAAGCATATTTCATTTGATTAATTTTGTTTATTGCTTTGTGAGGCAAAAATAAAATGTAGGTTTAAGAGGGCGGCTTCGACTTGTAATCAAAACAATTTCTCTTTTTTTTTTTGGGTTAATATTTTCGTATGGCCTAAACTTTGACCAAAATAAACATCCTGGCCAATATTTTCGATCTATAACATCCTGGCCCGAACTATACACCAAAATAAACAATTTGACCAAACCCGATGTTTGACCGTTAACTTGGACGGTCAAACGCGTTGACTAACGGTCAACATGCCACGTCACTGCCAAGTCAGAAGATCTGATAAATATTTAATTTTTTTATTTTATATTTTTGGTTTAACTAAGGTATTAGATGATTTTTTTTAATTTATAATAATTTAAAATTAGGGAATGTGTGGAAATTGTTAATTATTTTAAATATTTCATGCTGACTTGGCAGTGACATGGCGCGTTGACTAACGGTCAACGCGTTTGACCGTCCAAGTTAACGGTCAAAAGTCGAATCTGGTCAAATTATTTATTTTGGTGTATAGTTCAGGCC